AGATTATTCCTGGCATTGTTGACAACAGCTTTTAGGGTTGTGCCCAAAGTTTTGACTATAGGAGGCATTTTCTCAATTTAGAAAATTCATGTGGTCAACTGCCAATTGTAGCTCAACTGTGATCGGATGCTGGAGACAATGTTAGTCTTTAATGTGGAGGATGCCCTTGTGATAAGAGTCTGCTTCCTTTGACAGTACAGCATCCCATCTAGGACCTGACTGCCACACAATTAGTTAATCATTGCAAATAATACCTGAATTGTATTAACCTTGAAAATCAATGAGGGAAAATGGAAAGTACCTGAAATTAATTCATATTCCAAAGGGGCATGGGCTGAGTACTTTGTGAGCCATTTTGGTTTTCATCCAGAAGAGCTAAGGAAAGCTTATAATAGTGTGAATAAAGGCAAGCTTTCAACTCTGACAGCACTACTTCAAAGCTAAACATAAAGAAAGTGAAGCTCACCACCTGTAAACATTAGTCAGGATTATGTTCATTCAGTTTGATCTTAAATATGCAATACTTGGCATCACTGATCTCAGATGTTGACAATTATTCAATACATTTGCTACGCAGCTCTTTGCGACATTTCCATTTGATCATACACTACATCAAATGTGAAGATTATTAATATATTAGTTGTATTACATAATACCATTATATGGCATTATATGATACTACTACTAGTATAGTAATAATTATGTGGGATTATTTCTTACAGAAACACTGCTGAAATTCTGATGGAGCTTTTCCAAGAACATTGGAGACAGTCTATCAAAGCAACGCAAGAGGGCTCAACAAGAAACATTAATCTATCTAACTTGGCATGTGATCATTTCTTAAGTGAGGGAACATTATACAATTGGTGAGAGCACAAGCTATTGCCATTGTGGTTACTCTGAGGGTGAGTTCTGGGATTATGTTCTTTAATCCATCTCAGTCATGCTGGACATGCCTGTCTGCTTTGAAATTGACCAACATCACACAAACCCACCGAATGTCGCATTGCGTGTACAAATTATAAATTGACATCTTTTCTCAACTCAATGAATTTATTCGTGCTGATTGATTGCAAATGGTGGCACTGATGCATGGAATGGTTTGCAGAATATTTGGCTGGTTGCAGATGTCGTACTGGAGTTGACAACATAAATACATCCTCAGAATAACACTGCAAGTTGGTCTAGTTCCCGCTGATGTTGAATACATCACTAGAAGGTCTGTGCTTCATTTTAGTGTATTTCTGATTAGAGTCCTTTGAACACAACACTAACAATCAGATGTAAACAACCGCATAAGTTCTTCCTGCTGTAGTTGATGTATTGTAAGGTGCTGGAAGAAGCAAAGGGGGTGTGGGGGGGGGGGGGGGGGGGGCGGGGGGGGAATCAAGACAATCCTCAAGTACTGTTGAAAAACATACTGAAAATTTGTCCATGGTACCCAGTAAGTCATTAATGCAGCTTGATGCATTTGACAAACTCTGCACATTAACTGTTTATGGTGTACTGTACACACTCTCCTGCTGTGAACCACCAGCACATAAAAGGTGAACACTTATTATTTTACATGTGTCCTTTGTCTTACTTTCCTAATTTTATCTAAAATGATGTTCCAATTTAGCAACTGACAACATCTTTAATATTTAATATTCTATACAACTGAGGTTTCTCTCCCTTTGAATTTGCTTTCTTTTCACCTATAGATTAAACTGGAGATTAAACAACTCCAATCAATCTTCGTAGCTCAACTCCACTAAATTAGCGATTGGTCTGGTTACTTTTCTCTGCACCCTCTTTATATATTGCAATGCGTTGACCAGAATAGTAGATAGAACTGCAGCAATGATAAGCAAACAACAACAACAAATGACACTTGTATAGCTCCCTTCACGTCGGAAAGACGTCCCATGACGCTATACAGTTAGGGTTTTTTGGACCCAAGCTGGGAGTTGGGGTCAGGAGGGGTGGAGGGCAGGTGGTGGGGTGGGAGGGTGGCCAAAGGCTCAGTCAAAGAGGAAGGTCTTTAGACGGGATTTGAAGGAGACAAGAGAGGGGATGAGGTGGAGGGATTGTGGGATAGAGCTCCAGAGTGTGCGGGCAGAGATGCTGAAAGAGAAAGAGCAAAGAGAAAGGATCTCATCTTGTATCCTTGCTAGAACTTCGTGAAATGCTTTCTTTCCCCCACAAAAAAACTATTTACATATATTTATGGCTGTTTTGCAGGATATTGCACTTAATTTCACAATAAAATCCTGCTAATGCATTGAGACGTCACAATGATGTGATAAGGATGAATATAATTATTAATAATAAATACATTCCATTGTGGATCAATCTTTATTTGCCACTTTTTTCTCCAGTTTACCTCTTCTAGTCCTTTCCTCATTCCACTGCAGTAAACCTTTTTCAGTCAAGTACATTAGTCTTCGTCTTATCTCTATGTCCTTCTCTCCCATCATTTTGTTATATGATGATCACTATGCCCTAGGTGTTCACCTAGTATTATGTGCTGTATCTGCTCTGACTCATAATTAGACAGCGGGGCTTCCCTTCATGTTTGCTTCTGCATTTTGGCACAGAAAAGAATCAATCACACAGTGTAAAATATTCATCTCTCCTACTCCCTCTCTTTATCAATCTATCGAAGGATAGTTAAAATCCCTTATAATTATAAATTTGTTGTCCTGCTAATATCTTTTATTTGCCTACATATTTCTTCTGTTTGTTTTCCACTGTTGGGTAGTTTGCAGGACACGACTAATGCAGTGACTAAACCTTTCTTAGTTTTAATGCTATTCAAATGGATTGTATCTGAATAATAATCCTTGCATTTGATTATAGCGCCTTATCACGTCTTCAAGACATCTCAAAACGCTTCACAGAATATAGTGTAAAGTGAATTGACTGTATGTATTGTGGCCGAAACTTTTGCGCACAGCAGTGACCCACAAACAGTCATGGAATGAGTGACCAATTATTATTATTAATAAGTTTATTTATCTTACCAATTTATCTTAACCCTTATTGAAATCCATTATTTCTAATGTTATAATGATATCTCCAATTAACACTGATATCACTCCCCTTTTCCCTCATTTCCTGATTCAAAGGATGTGCTACCTTCTCATGCTACATGTCTTTTAGGATGTCCCAAGCATGGTCAATCAGGCTTCTGTCTTACCCAATATCTAATGATTTAATATTGACCCATAAAAATCCCAGCTAGACAAGAAAGCCTTTTTATCAATTTTTTCAAATTTAATAATAAACTGGATTTTTGCTTCTTTGCGCAGGATTTAACTTATACATATTAAACATACATATACATACACACACACACATATATTCATATATATTACTTTTTTTAAAATAAGCTATTATCATATTAGGTCAAATATTTTGTTGAATATGATGGAAGAATCTCCTCTTCCCTATCATCTGCATAATCTTTAGTCTGACATATAGCTTTCTTAAAAATAAATTAACTGAAATGTAACTTTAGTCTGGAATTGAATCTTAACCACAGATATCTGAAAATAAACAGATCTCTGGACAAACTCCACAAGAAAATGCTGACAAGTACAAGAGGGTTTACAAATGACTTTTCCTTTTCAACTACTTCTGTTTTCTTCCAAATAACAACCCTACAAAACGCAGGCATCATCAATGTGTGAGAGCGACAGAGCTTTGGCCACTGAATTGCATTGCCCTCAAGATGACCACGTTTTCTAGGAATGACAATTGGCTTGATAGCGGTCATGTAAGTTCACTGTATAAGCTATGGGCTGCAGTTGGGAAGAATCAGGCAGGACAGATGTCTGGGTTGTATAATGACACTGTCAGTCAAAAATCCATCAAAACTCAGGAATTATTGTACTAGTGCAATTATTTGAATTCAGATCTTAAGGGTCAAATAAATATTCCTGATAAAGTTCCTGTCTTCTGTAGTTCAGATGTAAGTGTCAGTCTGGCTCAGTTGGTAGCTGAGTGAAAAGATTGTGAATCCAAACCCCATGTCAGGAATTTAAGCTCATAATCAAGGCTGGAACTCCAGTGCAACATTGGGGGAGCACTGCATTGTTTGAGAAATCATCCTTCAGATGAGACAAACTGAGATGCTGTCCCCCTGTTCAAGTGGTCATTTAAGACCACAGGGTATGATTCTAAAAGAGAAGTTTTTTCCACTGTTCTGTCCAACAATCTCCCAAATAAAATTGATTATTTACTTTATGGGACATTGCTGTGTGCAAATTGGCTGCATATTCATCTACAAATAGTAGTTTGAGCAAACAGTAGCAGCACATGGAGGTGTGGGAAGAACAAACAGAAGTATAGAATTGGCAGATATGTAGCTGTGCTTTAGTTGTACCTAGATCAGTAAATAAGAACACAGAAAAGCATGAAATGATAAAAGGCCATCTTGCCTATCCCTTTCAGGATCATCTACAATTTTCTCCAGTGTAGACTTCACCAATTCCATTTCATCTATTGACAATAAGGTTTGTTAAGTTTTCACATCACCTCAAAAGATAAAATATGCAAATTGCATTCCTTCATATGACATGTCATAATACCACAGAAGCTATTATGTTCTAAACAACAATTGGTCATTTCTGTCTATCCAACACCTATTCTCATAAACCCCAATGATCTTCTATAATCATAAAGCTCTTTTTTTAAAAAATATTAATCAACACAGTGTTAATTCCTTCAGCTAAAAGGTATTCTATTCCATAAGTCTACTTACTATTCTGTGAGGAAGAACATTGCTCACAACTAACTCTTAGTTGAGATTTGATATTCTTATTGAACAATTCTATGTTTAGAGATAAATAATGTTCATTTACATTATCTATTTCTCTCAGTCTGGAATGCAAAATGTAACCAAATTATGACATTATGAGATCTTTGCTTCATCATTAAAAGCATTTCACACTCGTGTGGAAATTAGCTCCTTTTTGTGGTATGGGGAAAGTGATAGATAAAGCAGAAGTACTTGCCTCAAATTCTTTCACCTTCTCCATTGTAATTAACCGTCGTGCTGTATGGCTCGTGAAAGGCTGTTCACAGTTGCTTATACGTTTTAAACAAGGGTGCTGGGGAACAACATCCTCAGAGTATCTGGAAGAAAGAGAAAAGACAACTAATAATGAGTAGTAATAATGACTAAATATTTATTAGAAGGAATGACTGATGCCCAAACACAAATAGTTTAAAAATTACTCCCATCTCTGCCCTAAAATCAATTTAAATGTGCATAATTTCTAAACCTATGAAACTCAGTGCATATTAGTACCACCTGGCTGCTTACATTTGACATGCACATCTGCATATGTACACACACGCATGCATACAGACTCACTCACACATGCACAAAGAGATAGATCCAGGAGGTCACAAAGGTAACAGTGAATTTAAATGGAATTAGTAGCGTTCCAAGTGCACATTCTACTCTGCAAATGGAGGAGCAGACCAGCTGCCTGATGTCAGCCAGAAGAATTCGCTAAAACTTGCTGTCACTCCTGTAAGTGGGATCAGTCTGTTTAAAGACAGCTTTGGGTTTTGGTCCCTCTGCCAAAAATTTGCAAGTACTCAGGCAAACTGAATTTCTGTTCTATTTCTGAGGGAAAGTCAAACATCGGTTTCCAAACCAACTGATCGGATCGAGGGCATTCTTAAGGGACAATGAACTCTAATAGGTAACCATTCAGAACTCTGCCGCCCGCATACTTACCCGGGCCAAACGTCGTAATAATTAATGATAATAATAATCCTTGCATTTGACATAGCATTTTTCACGTCTTCTAGACGTCTCAAAGCGCTTCACAGAATGTACTGTAAAGTTAATTGACTGTATATTTGTGGGCGAAACGCGGCAGCCAATTGCACACAGCAGTGTCCCATAAACAGTTGTGGATTGAAATTACCAATTTATTATTGTTTTTTTCTTGAAGGATTATTATCAGGCGTGTGGAGTAAGCAAACTTGCCCAAGGTATGGCCCTGCCAGGAATGAAACCCAGCTCTCTCGCTTGCAAGGCGAGTGCTCTAACCACTGAGCTACAGGATTCCATATCGCACCGTACACCCAGGTCAGCTCTGGCCAAGCTCCACTGGCTCACCATCACCGAACTGATCAACTTCAAGATCCTCACACTCATGTTCAAATTAATTCCCTCCCTGCCACCTCCCTACCTCTCTAACCTCCTCGATCCCCAATCTACCACCCAGCGCCTCTGCTCAACTGGCACGGGTCTCCTACATGTCCCTCGCACCCTCCTCCCCACCATTGGAGGTCGCGCTTTCAGCCACTACGCCCCGAAACTCTGGAACACTCTCCCTCAATCTCTCCGCCTTGCCCCCTCTCGACCCCTTTTCAAATCCCATCTGAAAACCTTCCTTTTCAACCGTGCTTACGGTCACCTCCCCGCGCCCCCCAGCTCAGAGTCAAGCTCCGTCACTGTTAAGCACTACCCTCCATGGAGGGTACTGTATAAGCGCAAGTTGTTGTTGGAATCATTTTCCTAAAGAAACTTCTGAAACAATTTCATACAGAACCACAATAATCCAACTTTTCTGAATGATGTGTGTCTGCTTCAAAGTTCTATTTTAAAAGTCTCAGTATTTAAAATTCCTCCCTGCTCTTTCCAATCTTTAGGTGACCACGGAATGCTCTGCTCATTGGACTCCCCAGCTCTTCCTTACACAAGAGGCAGACTATCCAGAACTCTGCAGTCAGGTGCTTTACCAATCCACAAGCTCTGCAAGACTATCATCCCCATCCTCGGCCAGCTCCACTAGCTCCCCAATCCCCCCAGCAGATCAAGTTCAAGATCCTCATTCTCACCTTTAAAGCCCTCTTCAGTCTCACCCCACCCTACAACAACAACAACGTCAGGAGGACGTCCCAAGGCGCTGCACAGTTCTCACCTTTAAAGCCCTCTTCAGTCTCACCCCACCCTACAACAACAACAACGTCAGGAGGACGTCCCAAGGCGCTGCACAGTTGGGTCATGACCCGAGCAGGGGGGAAATGGTCAGGGTGAGGGAAGGGAGGGAGCAAGGAGGGGGGAAATGGTCAGGGTGAGGGGAGGGAAGGGAGGGAGCGAGGAGGGGGAAGAGAGTCGAAAGGGGACCACCTGTGACCTCCTCAAACCCTACTAACCCAGCTGCTCCCTTCGCTCAATAGGCACTGGACTGCTTCATATCCCTCATCCTCCCCACCCCACCATCAGCGGGCAGGATATCAGCCTTTCTGCCCCCATTCTTTAGAACCAGAGGATCGGAGTTCCTTCAACTTGCTTCCCTTGTTCAAGGTCCAGCACCAGACCTCAAGAACGAACTCTTTGATATTTATTTTGGTCATCTCCACCACCCCCCTCAGCTCCCATTGCAGCTCAGGTGCTAAGCCAGTATCGTTAAACACATTGGGTCATACTCCCGAAGTGAAAGGCCCTGTGTAAATGCGAATTTATATTGAATTGTAAAAGACCAACTTAAAAAAAAAATTCTTGCAATTTGCTTTAAACTGCGGAGAAATACTAATATAAATTTGCTGCGTTTGTTGTACATGTTCCCACCACTGCCTGGGTGCAACAAGGACCGCAGGGCTGCTGTCAGATTGACTCCTAGGTTTTCAGTTGAAGCCAAGACAGTTCTGAACGTAAATAAGCACAAGGAGCATCTCATGTCAGGAATTGAACTCAAGGTGGGGCGATGAGAGCTTTTTGAGTACTTATTTCTCCCATTGTGAGAACCCATCACAGAGCTGACTGTCACTTCACGAGGTATCAGGTGTACAATTGATTCAAGCACAAATACAATGCAGAATAAAGACATACCAATACAGCTCCTGGAAACCTCTGCTGAGGCACATCACAGGCTCAAGCCTTTTCCTTAAAACCCTCAAAGGTTATAACAATTTTAAAACAAATCATTCAATAGCAAACCCAAAAGTAAACTTCCAGTCACCCATTTGACATTATAATAAAATGCTGCAGAAAGATAAGGGCAGCTCTGTCTGAAAAGCATTGATTGAATCTCAGCCAAGTTTGCATGTTAGCTATACAGAACAGCTCATTAGATGCAGCAGCATATAGGACAGGAGAGAAGCAGAAAATTGTAACAGATCAGTGGTTTACAGACCCAAACAAAAATGCAAGAGGTTACCAGATATGGAACAGCACAGATGTTAGCTCCAAAGGATTCAGTAATTTGGCATATCCCAAAGGAGGTGGGAGGGGAACTGAGATGGGGAACAATTATAAAAACAGTCTTACTCTGGATACCACTTCCCTATATCATATTGACATTTAATTGTGTATCAGAAAATATCAATTATGCATACAACTATGCCTCTGTGCTCCTTTTTTGTTCATCTCCTTCATAAATTTAATATTACGTTTCACAATGAATGTGAAATAGCTTTATTTGACTTGAAGTACCTTTCTCTATTGCAAAGGAGTATAAATAACAATTACTGCCATTAGGGCTTACACAGTTCCCGGTAACCAAAAAAACAGGGAGGTAGTGGTGACCCTACAAATAAAATGATCAATTTCTAGTTACTCCAATGAGGCAACTGATGAATTCCATTCTATCTTAAATTAAGCAATTTGTTTCTGAAATTATAATAGCACAATGTACATCCACAAATGGTGAATAGTTATGTAGAATAACATTGGACATACTGAAGATTACAAAAACAAATGTAGAATTTGATGGATTCCAGCTAAGGCCACAAAAATAGCAGAACTCCAGCCATTTTATTTTTAAATTGACTGAATCCTTGGCTTGAAGCACCCTCTGCTGGAATTATGAAACAAGTGAAACTTTCTTTCAGAAATGTGAAGATCTGAGGTCTGATTGCCCTTATTGTTGGAGAAATCACAGACAATGCACAATACAGAGGAAGTAGAAGCTGGAAAATCATTTCAACGATTCAAACATGTAGAAAAGACTACCCAGGGAGACAAAATGTGTCAGCAAATTAATGAAGGAATTAAGCAAAGAGATTCTGACTGAGGGCTAATATATTATTTTTAATACTCTGGACCAGATGGACCCTAATGGTCTTTTCTGTATTTGTACATTCCCTTGTTTGAAATGGAGTTACAACGTACATGAATGTAACAATGAGGGTGGACATTACAAAGAGGACTAGTACCTTCACATGGACTGATGTTATTAAGGAGTAAAGAGAAAAGGTGTAACAAGAATTGCCTCAAACTTAATGGCAGAGCAGGCTTGATTAGCCAAATGGTCTACTCTTGATTCCTTTGTTACCACAAGGACAAATGTTACAACGCTTCTGCAAAAGTGCAATTCGCACCTTTCAAGGTTCACTTGGTTGAAGCTTCACAGGCTAGTGAGCACCAATTCAGCCAGACAGCTTTGCTTGTGCACACTCTAGCCTCACTTTGTAGCAGGTACAGTATGACCTGAAAGCATTTTATTTATGATGCCCTGAGAGCTTGCAATATTCCTAAAATTCTACATGTTTCAAAAAGATCAGCAACTAAATCTCAAACTACAGTTTGATATATTTGTAAAATTAACCATCCAAATACTGCTGATGAGTTTCCTGATCAGGCCATTGACAGTACATTTGGTGGCAGCTGTTTCTGTACTGGATCCATCTTCACAGAAGGGATTAACAGGGTCACACCTCTAACACGACATGTCATTCATTAGAGGCTGAGCTTTCAATTAACTGAAAAAGTTTCCACCAGTTTGTTATGTTAAAAAAAAGTTTTCCCAATTTAAAAACAGGTTGTGAGTATTGAAAGTACAATTTTTGTTTCAGTTTGAAAAAGAGGATTAAATAAAATAATAAGATAGATTATGTAGGGAAAAGTAAATTGGGTGAAATGAATGTGGATAATTGGACATCACATTAAATACAAATTGTCTCAAATACCAACTCTCCCACACTCTCTTTAACTTGCTCTGACTCTCCCAAACACTCTCCGTCTGACTCTCCCACTCTCTCTTTGTCCGATTCTCCCCCTCTCTCTCAGGCCTCCCTTATAGAGATAAACAGACATGAGGAAAAACAAAGTACAGATAAACATTGTTCTACTGTATCTCCATCCTGGGAGATATGACAAATTCATTATTTCCTTATATGGTCTCTCAGCTGAGAACGGCCACGTTAAAACATCAAATCAAGTTAAATCTCACAAGATAATAAACAAACCCACAATCCTGAATCATGCACTAGGGTAGTGAGCTCAAATACCCAAAGTGCTATGTGGAGTCACTGGTGTTGTATGTGCAAGACCAGATTTACCTAAATGAAGCGTTGGAAAGTTCAGATGCAAAAGGGTACATTTGTTTTTCAAAAATAAAATGTTATTTACTCAGGTTTATATACTGGCAACCAGTAAACCAGTCGACCATTCATGACCAGGCACTGGGCAGCAAAGTTCAGCAGGTCGATAAAAATGTCACTGAGCTGATAACTCATGGATACGGGGACGTAATTTTCCACACTGAAAGACAAGAAAAACAAACACAAATATCTTTCAGTGAATGAATAAAGTGCATGGATGAACGAATGAAATGTGTGGAGTCCTGTAGCTTAGTGGTTAGAGCACTCGCCTTGCTAGCGAAAGGGCCGGAGTTCGAGTCCTGGTAGGGCAAAATGTTGGGCATGTTTCCTTACTCCACACACCCTTTTTCACCTACCAGAAAGTAAGAACTTAATTGTTAGTTGATTGGCGGATCGCTTTTCCGAGGGTAGCAATCCCTTCAATGTTTTTAAAAAAGGTAATACAAATTTGGTCATTCAATCCACGACTGTTTGTGGGACACTACTGTGCACAATTGGCTGCCGTATTTTGCCTACAAAATACAGTCAATTCACTTTACAGTATATACTGTGAAGCGCTTTGAGATAACATTAAGACTTGATAAGGCGCTATATCAAGGACAAGGATTATTATTATTTCCTAACCTTGGTTAATAACAGTCCATGGATTTATTCGTTCTGCAGCTGCAATCCTATGCTCCCCCGGTCAGTGCATTTATGAGGGCTTTGATGGTGATTACATACTAGTCTTCACTTACTGCTATAAGTACAAACACCAAAATGTGCCAACAAATGGAGAATGCAGGTTTGTCACCAGGGTTTGGTAAATGTATTGACAAGGAGAATTACTCCCATGTAGCAGTGATAGACACAGCTCTAAACCCTCTCTAAAAAAATATATGCTTAACGAAGTCAGTCAAATCCCAATGGGTCCAGTTCATCCTTTCAAGGTCAATAAGCACCACATCTAAAAAATATGTAGATGGAGGGAAAGATCGAAGTCTTGGCAATTGTGAATCAGTAGGAACTTCCTAATTGAAAGCCCTAATGGGTTAGGTTGGCCCTAACTGTGCTGTGCGTTGCTGTCCTTTCTTCCTCTTATCCGCACTACAACTGGCAACGCCTTCCATCACCTCTGAAACATCGCCTGACTACGGAACTACCTCACCCCTCACGCTGCCGAAACTCTGGTCCACGCCTTTATCACCTCAAGGCTGGACTATGGGAACTCTCTCCTCGCCGGCCTTCCTGGCACCTCCCTCCACAAGCTGCAGGTCATTCAGAACTCTGCAGCTCGTGTACTGTCCCGCACCAGGCTTCGTGACCACATCACTCCCACCCTCGCTCACCTCCACTGGCTTCCCATCCCCCAGAGGATCGAATTCAAGATCCTCATCCTTACCTACAAGGCCATTCACGGCCTTGCTCCCTCCTACCTCTCCGACCTACTATCCCTACTTACCTGCCCGTACCCTCCGTTCCTCTGGCTCTGGTCTGCTCCACATCCCCCGCCCCAACCGCCCTACCATCGGTGGTCGGGCCTTCAGCCTCTCAGCCCCTAGGCTCTGGAACTCCAACCCCCAGTGCCTTCGCCGCCTCCTCCCTTTCCTCCTTCAAGGCCGGTCTCGAGACCTTTTTCTTCAACCGTGCCTTCAGCTCCCCTCTCGACTCTCTACCCCCTCCTCGCTCCCTCCTTTCCCTCCCCTCACCCTGACCATTTCCCCCCTGCTCAGGTCCTGACCCAACTGTCCAGCGCCTTGGGATGTCCTCCCGATGTGAAAGGCACTCTATAAATAAAATCTTGTTGTTGTTGTTGTTGTTGTAGTAGTATGACAAACAGCAGATGTTTTGTAGCATTATAACTTCATGGAAATAAAATGTTCCTGTGTGCATGTCATAAAAGTATTCAAGTATCACATGATGACTACAATACAAGAATGGAGAATTTGTGCCACCTGGTGGATGAAAGCATTAAGGGGAAAAACAACTAATTGTGGATTTATTTAATCCAGAATAAATTTAGATTTAAAATTTTACAGTAATTCCACCACAGACTTTGCCCCATAATCTTGGCTTAATTTTTAAAAATACTGTATCTGACATTTTCAAGAAAATAAGAATAATGCCTTATAAGCAACACCGTCTCGTACTGCGTTCCTCAGGGCTCTGTCCTTGGTCCCCTCCTCTTCAATATCTATATGCTTCCTATTAGTGACATCCTCCACAGACATGCGGTCAACTTCCACATGTATGCGGATGACACCCAACTCTATCGCTCTGCCTCCACCCTCGACTCCAGGACCACTGCTGTGCTGACAGAATGTCTGTCAGACATCAAGTCCTGGATGAGAGCCAACTTTCTTCACTTGAACGTCAACAAGATCGAGGTTCTCCTGATTGGTTCCCATCAGCGCCTCCTCACCTCAGGCACTGACAGCATCACCATCCATGGTTACACACTCCACCTTACTAATCCAATCCGGAACCTTAGCATCTTGTTTGACACTCAACTTAGCCTTTCTACCTCTGCCTTCCCCCACCTCCGCAACATCTCCTGGCTCCGCCACTATCTCAGACTGCAGCCCGAGAACCTAATACACACAATAACAACACTGAGGCTTGACAATGCAAACTCCCTGCTTGTCGGCCTCCCCAACTCCTCCCTCCATAGGCTACAGATCATCCAGAACTCTGTAGCCCTTGTCCTCTCTTGCACCAGGATCCGTGACCTATCACCCTATCCTGGCCCAACACCACTGGGTTCCTATTAGACAGAGGATACAGCTCAAGATCCTGGTCCTCACCTTCAAAGCCCTTCATGGCCTTGCTCCCCCCTACCTCTGCGACCTCCTAACCCCCTACCAACCTGCCCGCTCCCTCCACTCAGCAGGCTCCGGACTGCTTCAAGTCCCCCTTGCGGAGAGCCCCACTATTGTTCGGGTGGGCCTTCTGCCATTCTGCCCTTAACCTTTGGAACTCCATTCCGCAGTCCCTCCACCTCGCCCTCTCCCTTGCTTCCTTCAAGACCCATCTCAGGACCCTCCTTTTCGACCATGCCTTCGGTCACCCTCCTTCCCCCCCTGCCCTCCACCCTCCCCGATCCCAATCCCCAGCTTGGGTCCCAAACATTGTTTGTCCAGCGCCTTGGGACGTCCTCTCAATGTGAAAGGTACTATACAAATGTAATTTTGTTTTTGTTGTATTTTGACTACAGGGCAACAACAACAACAACAAAATTACATTTATAGAGCACCTTTCACGTCGGGAGGACGTCCCAAAACGCTGAACAGTCAGGTGTTGGGGCCCGAGCATGGGGGAGGGGTGATGTAGGGGTGAGGGAAGGCAGAGAGGTGGGAGGGCGACCAAAGGCATGGTCGAAGAGAAGGGTCTTGAGACCGGCCTTGAAGGAGGCAAGGAAGGAAGCAGGAAGCAAGGGAGGAAGCGGGAGGCAAGGGAGGAAGGGCAACCCCATTATAACACAGTGGTCTTGTTCCATAAACTCAGACACCTCTCCCCACATTAAAATCAAGCAGAAAAAAGGTAAAATTCCAGGTTGCTGCTGACGTCACATTCCACATGTTGCATATCATCCGAAAACATCCCTGATGTCAGTTTGATTGCAAAGTACATGCGTGCTACATAATAATAATCTTTGCATTTGATATAGTGCTTTCTCGTGCCTTTAAGATGTCTCAATGCACTTCACAGGAATTACTGTAAACTGCAGCAACCGTATTTAGTATGTGAACGTGGCAACCAATTTGCGCTTACACTCAGCATAAGAAGTGTTGCTGACGGCATTTCCTTTACGTAGGAAGTGACGTCAGCCACAACTTGATGACTCAGAAAGCGGGCTGGTTTTACTGAGGGAAGCCAGCAAGTCAGTGCCAGAAGTGGGTGTTCTACTTCTGAGTGGGATAGAACTATAGGCAAACCTGCATGAAATCAAAGCATGATCTAATATGGTAGCCCTATCTTTGGCAACCAGCACTTTTAATATTAAAGCCCCTTTCTTTGGAAATAGTACCAGACAGAATGCAGATGTAGTTACTGACAGCTAGAACATATGATACTCTTCTCAGATAATGTGGTAACAACCCTGTAAAATAATGTCAAACTTGCAATCCCTTACAGCTATTCAACAAAAGTGCTAAGTGAATACTGGATTTAAGATAAGAAAAGTTTTTCTAATCAAGTTTTTCCTGTCCACCGGAAAGATATAGTCACTGCACTTTACAGTAAATCCTGCGAAGCTCTGTGAGCACTTTCAGATATCCCCCTGGTGTGAAAGACACAATATAAAATGCAAGGATGATGATAATGAATATTATATCACAGGATACGCATTGGATAAAATTAATACTTACTAATCTTCCGTTGGCTTAAAAATTTCTTTCTGTGAGCCTGTTTTCCTTGTGGATTCCCTAATACCATATGGAGCTATAAAGAAAGAAAACACGTGCAAGTTCAAAAATTTGATTTTATACACATAGCTAATAAATAGACAAAGGAATATACAATGTGCTTACTTTCTGCATGTATAATACAAAATCTCACTACAAAAACAGAAGGCAAGTGCGGAAGTAATGGAGGATAGGAGATCAGTGTTACCAGTGCAAAGAAATCTAAGTGGTTTTGATAGGAAACTGAATGGGACTCGGGCAATCATACAATTTATAAAGATAAGGTTTATGCGAGTTTTACAGGAGTAGAATTCTAAATAATCTTAAAGCTGCAAATGATATTTTCATAGGGTCTCTCCTACGATGGTTTCACAAGTGATCCTGACATTTGTCTCAGATGCTACAATTCCTCTATACTAATCAACTCTGCCCTTACAAAACTTTGTACCCAACTGGTAATAATTACCCTAATTTTGGTAATCTGTTCACGGGGGATGGAGTGGTGGCCTCTGGAACACACATTGCAGTAAGATAATACATGGCTGCACAATGCCGCTCTTCAGCCTGAACTTACGATCCGTAATGATTGCATCAAATAGTTTCTCTTTCCTCCAGATTTTCTTGGAGGCGTCAGAAACAAACACATCAATATAGAATTTCTCCAAGCCATACTGCCGAAGATTGGCCCGGATATTCTCGTCTGGTCCTCTCCATTTCTGATTTTTCCTACTGGCCTTACCTGCGTGGCAGAACACAATATGGAATTACTCACAATCACTTCAACACTGCTGTGCGTAATTGGTTGCTGCGTTTCGTTCACAAAATACACAGTCAATCCACTTTACAATATATTTTGTGAAGATTTTTGAGACGTCTCAATGACGTGATAAGGTGCTAGATCAAATGCAAGGATTATTATTCTTATTATTATTATATGTAGAGAATCATCTTTAATCCAGATCAAACCAAAAGTGGAGTCCAACCAGCAAACTTGTATTCTTATTCATCTTATCCTCCAGGTTTCTATTTTCACCACCAACTTGATTAAAATTGTAAGAAGAGATGCAGGCCATCTGACCTGTTAAGTCTGTTTTGCTATTTTATTAGATCATGGCAGATTTTTTATTTCCTTTTCCCTACCTTTTCTCCATAACACCTTCATACCCTTACTTACCAACTGCTTATCTACTTACTTTTTAAACTCCCAAATGATTCTACATATAGACATGAGCTCCAATTGCGTTTATTGTTACTTTCTTCCCTTTGAATTTCATACTGTTTTTAATATTAAATTTGTTCTTGGATTCCATATTCTATTGGCCACTTTTTGCTACAAGTGAAAGTAGAATCTACTAATTCTTTGTTCAAATGTAGTTTGTGGAGTCCTGTAGCTCAGTGGTTAGAGCACTCGCTTTGCAAGCGAGAGACCTGAGCTCAATTCCAGGCAGGGCGAAACCTTGGGCAAGTTTCCTTACTCCACACGCCTAATAATAATCCCTCCAAAAACAATAATAAATTGGTCATTTTCAATCTACGACTGTTTGCGGGACATTGCTGTGCGCAATTGGCTGCCGCGTTCGCCCAAAAATTTACAGTCAATTCACTTTACAGTGTGTTCTGTGAAGTGCTTTGGACGTCCTCCCGACGTGAAAAGCACTATATCAAATGCAAGGATTATTATTATTATTATAGTAGGTGCAGCAGGAGACAGGCACCTGCAAGATACATTTTTCAAAGCTCATGCTAAAATAATTATTTTGTCAGCCCTATGAAATTATGAGTTTGTTTTATTAACGATGTGAAAACATGCAGTTATGCTTACCACGTCCATGAATAGTGTTGAAGTCAATGTCTGTTCCACATACATATGCTCCAAAATGAGCACAAGCTACAAGAAGACTACCTGGGGAAACATCATTTTAAATGGTGAGCTGCTGTGTCAAACCTACTAGTAGAACACACAAGGATTGAACCTGGTCAATTCCTGTCCTTCAGCTTCAGTATTATAGCAAATAGTACATCCACATCTACTGAGGTAGTATCTGTAGCAGCACTTTACTCAATGTCCATGGGCAGTGGTGGACCATCACTCAATCCTTATGACCTCTGCAAGCATCAAATTAAGGGCAATTTTGTGCTCCAGAACCAAGCCCAAATCTGGAGAGGGAAATGTCCAAATCTGATTCATTTAGGACATTTACATCCATCAGTCTGGACAGGTTTCAAATCTAAATTCCAGAGTTAAACAGCAAGTGTTTAATCTACTGTGGAATCCAGTTTCCCCAAAAACACAAATTAACTGAATTACAGGAACTGCATTATTTCCATGCAATTTCACCACATACTACATAAGAGAATGGTTTTAGCATGCAAACTATACAATAGGAAATCCTGTATCCTGTCTGTGCTCTCAGCAATCTCTTACCTGTTCCCACAAAAGGGTCAAACACCAAGTCGTTGGGTCTCACTTGGGCATGGTTTGCCATTATGAAGGACAAACATGCATCCATACTTGTATTACCAATGAAATGGCGCTTCTTCACACTGTAGGAATCAATTAGTTCTCTTTGACCATCAGCAAGCTAAAATACAAATGGGAAGAGGTGAGGATTACATAGAATTACATAGATTGTACAGAAGCAAAATAGCCCACTCAGCTCAACTAGTCCGTGCTGGTGTTTATACTCCTCACAAATCTCCACCCACCTCTGTAGCCTCCTCCCATCTCTGTATCCTCCTCCCATCTCTGTATCCTCCTCCCATCTCTATATCCTCCTCCCATACCCTTCTAATCCATTCTAGAAAAAGGTCAGCTCTTCAATTTTGCATTTAATGTTAAATATTCCAACAATAGGATTAGGGTTAAAATAAATACATTACATTGCACGACAAAAGCATTAAATGCTTCAACACAAAAAATAGTAAATGTCTCAGTTAACATTGGAATGCAAGAATTATCCAGTTTACTTTACTGTTTAAAGGTTTTTCTAAGCAACACTGAGAACTTGCTTTTCCCTGTCCTGTGCTCTCCTCTAGGTGATGAGTTATGCCGGAGATACATTACTATGGTGTTGCCTGCCCTATAGAACCTCACCCAATTGGTCCTTCTGCATATCTGAGCTTGGATATTGGAGTTTATTATGTGTCATGCCAACTTAGCTGTATAATAAGCTATGTGCAGTATCATGTGTAGAAAGAAATTACAGATGCCCTAAATAATGTAGTTAAACAAGAAAAGGATTCACTGTTAATTGCATAATTAAGTTTTCATTGATCAATGCACTTGATAATAATAATCCTGGCATTTGATTACTATCAAGCTTCTTGTCACTTGATAGCCCCTCTGTGCACGGGCATTTACACAAGCTGGACAATACAGTTGTATTATTATGTATTGCGTGTAAACTACATGAAACACAACTTTTTTTGCAAAGCCAAATCCCTGACTGCTCCTTCCCTGCAGCAGTTGAGATCACCTAGTTCTACATATATCGGGCATCAAATCTACTACCTAGTTAGTAAGACTCATTTCCACATCAAATAGTGCAATGACTCACAAAGCCATCGATGGAGCCTGCTGACTGACGCTCACTGAGGTTTACTCTGCACCATGTGTAGACAATGTGTAAACATACCTGGGTTTTATGTCAAGTGTTTGATACAGGTGGAAACCCATCGTCATGCTTAAGTGTATCCAAACCAGATTGAGATCTCCCCATAACAGAGTTTTGTTCCTCGTAACCATGGCGATGGGTTTCACATGTCTCAGACATCTGGTTCACAAAAACAACCCCCAAAAAGCATGTTTATACGTAGGAAGACAAAAAGATCAACAGAAATTCGTCATTACAGATTCTCAATTTCCTTTAAGGTGTTGCTTAGACTGAAGTGGACAGTGTAAATCTCACCCATCTTCCAAAATAAAGAACAAACGGCTTCTCAGGAGTGTTATTCGGATCTGTGCCATAGTCTTCAAGTAACCAAAACACATGCTCCGGACTCTTTAGATTCACTTTTCCTTTAAAGGGCAGAAATTCTAAATCCTGCGTGAAACAAGGAAACAAAAGCAAATAGTGAGTCATGCAATAATGTGAACTGCTTAAATACACAGCAGTAGTATGCAGCTGTCTAACATGCCCTTCAGAGAGTACCAAGACTACATTCAGATCTTCCATGCAAAATAATTTATATTCACAAACTCAATTTCAAGTTTGTTTAACTGATAGCAAATAAATGAATAATAATCCTAGCATTTGATATAGCACCTATTGCATCTGGTGGACGTCTCAAAGCACTTCACGGGATTTACTGTAAAATGTACAGACTGTATTTTTGCGGCAGCACAGCACAGAGAAACGTCTCACAAAACAACCACAAAGTGACTGACCAATTTTATCAGTTTCTTATTTGTTCAAGAGCTGCATTCCTCAACCTTTCCTGTCCCAGACAAACTCGCCTTCCTAACTGAGCATCTTCTCATCATGGGCAACTTCAACTTACATTTTAATTCTTCCTGCCTCATCTCCTCTGACTTCTCAGCTGTCCCGTCCACAACTGCAGCTATTATTACCCACGGCCTTGATGTATCTGAGCTCACTCAAACTTAAATGACACAACTCCAGCCTAGCAGTCCATTAGCAAATCTGGCTTGATCAGCTCCATAACTAGTACCACTTCCTCTCCCAAGCTAAAACCTTATTCCATTTCAAAGTTGTCATGGAGCCCAAGGACAAGCTCCTCTTCTCCACCACTAATCCGCCTTCATTGTTGCCTCCTTTCCCTCAGGCACCCTCCATCCTGTCACCAAATGCAAGGAGGTCATAGGCTTCCTCATAAAAAAACGACAAAATCTACTTGAACACATCTTCCTCCTCCTGCCCCAGATGCTGGACCTCTTCCAAATACTCCCTTCCTGAATCTGGGATCACTGAAACCAGTTTTAGAGCCCCAACTGCTGCCCATTTGAGATCAGCTAACTCTGCATTCGGGTCATATAGTTTAGTCCTGCACAGGATAGTGCCTAACCTACTAGGTCATGAAGAAAGCTTTTCAACACTTTCTCACTGCACTCAGGATTTTTTGGTCTGGCACCAAAATGAATTCGCAAGAAATTCAAACAGTAGAATAAAACCACAAAACGATACATACATCTATCTTTTGAATCCTTTTGTTATGTGTCAGCGTTTTGTTGAATGCATAAACATTTATCTTATACGTTGAATCTCTCTGAAGATATGGATTCTAAAAATAAGGAAAATAAATGTAGTTGATTTATTGGCAGTCAAACAGCACTGGCGGTACACAAGGCAAACACAGGAATAAATAATGAGAACACAAACCATTCTCTCTGTAGGATAATTTTTCAGGGAAGTGTGCAACTCTTTCCATGTTCTTCCTTGACCCCACAATTCAAATATTGATCTGCAAAGTGATGCAAGGCAATTGTGTTAAAAAGAGAAGTATTTTGCTGATATATAGTGCACAGAAAGATCAAAAATAACATTGAGTCTTCCATGCAACTGCTCTAAATCATTTCTCTTATTCCTCTTAAGGACATAGATTATTTTACTTTCAACTGATTTATTTTGATACTATATTTGGTGTCAGCTTGGCTCAGTTGGTAGCACTCTCAGATCTGAGTCAAAAAGTTGTAGTTTCCAAACCTACATAAAGGCTTTGAACACATAAGTCAAGGCTGACAACTACTATCAGGAACTTATGTATTTCCCTCCCAACAATCTGACTCTCTGGTAACACTGATGACCATTATAGGCAATATTAAGCTTACTGAATGAGTCTCAGCCTATAACTCTTTGACCACATCAATCGTGGCTTTGGAGTCCATCTTATTTTGCACTTTAGAATCCAGATTCTTCAATAACAGTCACCTTTGTACAACTTTGTTCTGTTAACAATGAACAAAATGTTAAACTGCATACTTCAACCAAAATACACAATTGCATGCTTTGCTGAAACACTTACTTTGCACACACTGTTCGTCTCATAATTCCTTTTGCAATATCCTCAGAGGGAATGTTGAGTACCCAGAATGGAGACTAAAAAGAAAAAAAAACACCTTGATATCAGTAGTCATACAAACTCAAAGCACATTTCAAATTCAGTTGCCCAGTACCACATGTACTGTGATAAATCCTAAGGATGAAAATATTCTCTTTTGTCAATAATCAAAAGGTATGAAAAACTTACGAATGCCATTACGCATCAACGATGTAATCTGCACTGTGAAATCATTGCAAAGCAAACAGAAATCCATACAAAGGACAATATAAAGGTTTTCAAGATGAAGACTTATGATCGGGTTATTAGTAATAATAAATGATAATAATCCTTGCATTTGATATCGCGCTTTTCACGTCTTCTAGACGTCTCAAAGCACTTCACAGAATATACGGTAAAGTGAATTCACTGCATTTTTGTGGGCGAAACACGGCAGCCAATTGCGCACAGCAGTGTCCCACAAACAACCGTGGGTTGAAGTTACCAAATTATTATTGTTTTGTTTCTCTTAAGGGATTATTATTAGGCGTGTGGAGTAAGGAAACTTGCCCAAGGTTTCGGCTTGCCGGGAATCGAACCCAGGTTTCTCGCTTGTGAGGCAAGCGCTCTAACCACTGAGCTACAGGACCTCATTTGATATAGTAATAGTAATAGATTATTTCCACTGTTCAGCAAGTCAGTAATAAAATAACACAAAACTCTGATAATTTAGAAAAACAGAAAAAATTAGAGGGGAGTAATTAGTAAAGTAAAAATTAGTGAAGAATTACAAAATAATTCTTTACTAAATAATTAGGTAAACTTTTGAGAAAAGGAATATAAAGGTTCTGGGGAGCAAGCAAGAGAGTGGGATTTGATTTGGTAGCTCATGTGGACTTGCTAAGCTGAACGGTATCATTTTAGTTATTATTGAAAGTAAAAAATACAAGGAATAATAGTAATAATAATATATTGACGAGGCATCTCAAAGTGCTTCACATGATATACTCTAAAGTAGTGTGAACTTTGTATGTTGTAGGCGAACACGACAGGGCACAGCAATGTCTCACAAACTGCCATGGAGGGCCAATTTAATTTGGATAAACTCGCTTCTCTTTTTGAATAGTGCCATGGGATCTTTAATTTCCATCTGAGCAGATGGGACCCCAGTAAAACATCTTATCCAAAGGATGGCACCACCAACAATTCAGCATATTCCCAGCACTCAATTGGAGGGTCAGCATGGAATAGATTAGTTCCGAGGCACGACCCGATGCTTAAACCCACAAACTTCTGACTCAGAGGTGAACCTCTGAGGCCAGGCTAACACATGGAAAGGAATGAAATTAAATCTCAGGTGCCAGTTAATAATTATAAATTTATACAAATGTCAGTCTTACCGTTCAGGGCAATGTCTGAATTCCTCAATTAAGTGAAATTTTTCAGATTCTTCCATTATTCCACTATTCCCAGCTCCAGGATTCTGAGACCAATTCAGTATTAAAGCACAAAATTCCTTGTAGTCTGAGCTTCACGAGCATTTCATAAAAAATGCATTTAAATTTAAAACTTAAATGCAGTCTTCATTTGGAAACCAGTTATCCACAGATCTTAAATGCGGAAAAACAGTTCTAAAGATTCATTTTAAAAAATCTGCCAAAATTCTGCACAATAAAATTTTAAGGCAGTGGTCCCAAGTCGAAGACTTTTTAAAAAAACGTAAAGCCTCTGATGTGAACCAAAACATCCTGTGACTTAGCATAAGAAAATACGGCTCCCTACCTTTTCATTAATATTCTCTTCACATCTTAACTGTCCACCACAAACCGAAAAAAGTGATGTAATCTCCTGTAATAAAAAGAATATTTTATTGACACATCAAAAATCAATAAAACATTGTCTGCAATATAAACAACTTTGTTTTTTTCTATTCAACTCAATCATTATGCATATTGACTAAACCTGGAGTCCTGTGCATTCACAATTGAGCATCATTGCAATGGAAGTGTGAGAAAATAACATTGGATGGTTTGGGGACAGTGCCACAACACACTCCAGCACCTCTGAACCACTTATCCACTGGCTTCCCATTTCACAGAGGATACAGTTCAAGATCCTGGTTCTCACCTTCAAAGCCCTCCATGGCCTTGCTCCCCTCTATCTCTGTGACCTCCTAACTCCCTACCATCCTGCTCGCTCCCTCCACTCAGCAGACCACGCCTCGCATACACCCCACCTCACTTGCCCCACCTCGCCTTCAGCCACTCTGCCCCCGTTTGTGGGAGGGCCTTCAGCCACTCAGCCCCCACTTTTTGGAACTCCATCCTGCAGGCCCTCCGCTTCACCCACCGCCCCCACCCTTGCCTCCTTGAAGACCTGTCTCTTCGATCATCCTCCTTCCCCCCACCGCCTGCCCTCCACCCTTCCTAATCCCGACCGCCAGCTCGGGTCCGAAACACTGATTGTCCAGCACCTTGGGACGTCTTCCTGACGTGAAAGACGCCATACAAATGTAATTCTGCTGTTATTCAGATTACACCTGGTCCTATCCATAAATGGTTTGCAAGATTCCCTGCTCCTTCCATTCCTTCTAACCTCAGGATAAATTGTCAGTACTAAAGGACCGCTCTGGAGTTTGTTTTGTTATTCAGTAATCAAAATAATTAACTAGCAATCTATGAGTGCTAAACAAAGCTTTGATCGTGATTACTATTTTAAGTGCAGGATGATGATGTTCAACTTCTGTGCAATTTTGAAGTTTGAAATAATTTGTTTATTACTAATAATAATCCTTGGGTGCAGTCCTGTAGCTCAGTGGTAATAGCACTTGCCTCTCAAGTGAGAGACCTGAGTTCAATTCCCAGCAAGGTGAAATGTTGGGCAAGTTTCCTTACTCCACACGCCTCTGTTTAACTAGCAGTAAGTACAAACCTGGTTGTTAGTCGATTGGCAGATTGCCTTTCCGGGGGTAATAATTTCCTTCAAATAAATAATAAATTGGTCATTCAATCCACGACAGTTTGTGGAACACTACTGTGCACAATTGGCTGCTGCGTTTCGCCCACAACAGTCAATTCTCACTTTACAGTATATTCTGTGAAGCGCTTTGAGATGTCTGGAAGACGCGATAAGACGCTATATCAAATGCAATGATTATTGTTATTATTTGGTATAGCCTCATCAAGATGGAAGGATGTCTCAAAGTGCTTCACAAGATTTACTGTGAAATGGAGTGACTGTGTAATTATAGGCAAATGCAGCAACACAGTTACGCACAGCAATGTTCCACAAACAGCCATAAAACAAATTACCAATTTTATTTGGAGGATTGTTAGCCAGGATACTGGGAGAAACTCCTTTCCTTTTTTCAATAGTACCATGGGATCTTTAACATCCAACTGAACAGGCAGACATCAGTTTAATGTCTCATCCGAAGTACAGCACTTCTGACAATGCACACACCCCCAGCACTGCATTGGAATGTAACTTAGACGATGTGAGTCCAAGTCTCGATGTGGATTTTGAACCTACAACCTTCTAACAGTGCGACCGATGAGCCGAGCTGACCCGCGCCCCCCAGGACAGTCCCTGGACAGTCACTGGACAGTCACTGGTTTGTCTGAAGGACGGGATCAGGCGCTGAATCAAACACAATGATTATGTTTATAGTTTGGTCTTCCTACAGTCTGAGTGACATTAGTCATATCTTTCACACAGCAGTGCGAGCGCCCGGCCCTGCCCTCCCTGCCCGGCCCGGCCCTCCCTGCCCGGCCCGGCCCTGCCCGGCCCGGCCCTGCCCTCCCCTCCCTGCCGGCCCTGCCCTCCCGGCCCTGCCCTGCACTGCCCTCCCGGTCCTGCCCTCCCTGCCCTGCTTTCGCTGCTCTGCCCTCCCGGCCCTGCCCTGCCCTCCCTGCCCCTGCCCTCCCTGCCCGGCCGTCCCGGCCCTGCCCTCCCTGCCCTGCCCTCCCTGCCCTGCCTCCCTCCCGGTCCTGCCCTCCCTGCCCTGCACTGCCCTCCCGGTCCTGCCCTCCCTGCCCTGCTCTCGCTGCTCTGCCCTTCCGGCCCTGCCCTGCCCTCCCTGCCCTGCCTGCCCTGCCCTCCCTGCCCGGCCGTCCCTGCCCTGCTCTCGCTGCTCTGCCCTTCCGGCCCTGCCCTGCCCTCCCTGCCCTGCCCTCCCTGCCCTCCCCTGCCCTGCCCTCCCTGCCCTGCCCTCCCTGCCCTGCCCTCCCTGCCCGGCCCTGCCCTGCCCTCCCTGCCCGGCCCTGCCCTCCCTGCCCTCCCTACCCTCCCTGTCCGGCCCTGCCCTGTCGGCCCTGCCCTGCCCTCCCTGCCCGGCCCTGCCCTCCCTACCCTCCCTGCCCGGCCCTGCCCTCCCCTCCCGGCCCTGCCCTCCCTGCCCGCCCTCCCTGCCCTGCCCTGCCTGCCCTCCCTGCCTGCCCTGCCCTGCCCTCCCTGCCCTCCCTCCCTGCCCGGCCCGGCCCTGCCCTCCCTGCCCTCCCCTCCCTGCCCTCCCTGCCCTCGCTGCCCTGTCGCCCTGCCCTCCCTGCCCGCCCTGCCCTCCCTGCCCTGTCCTGCCCTCCCTGCCCTGCCCTCCCTGCCCTGCCCCCCGGCCCCGCGGCGCTGATACTCACCGGGAATCTGAACTCCAGGTTTTCTTGCGCCAAAAGAAGCAAAAACCTGCGACTGTGCAGCGCCATCTTCACTCCGTCACAACAACAAGTCCCGGCGCCGGGGCCGCGCAACATTGGTTCCGCCTCGGGACGGTCCCTGTGTGTGTGTGTGTGTGAGTCAGGGCCTCCCGCGCCAGGTGCCGTGTGGGCGGTTTGGGCGGCTTTCCTCCCAAAGGCTGTTTGTTGCTACTGTGCGGGAAAAATCACGGCTTGAGGCAGGTGCTACATTTTTTTAAAAAAAATTTAATTTAAACCACAGCAAAACGTGCCCCCCCTCCCCTCCCCCCCCCCCCTTTCAAGACTGTTTCTTACACAGTTTCACAGTCACTAACCTGAATTGGCCGCTCTGCCACCCACAGGAGTCAACCCGGGACATTGGGCTACTTTTGGGCTGGTGCTCTGCTGACTTTGGGCTATCATTTATTTTAATTTCTGGCAATTCTGCCCCTTGTGCCAGTCAGAGCAGCCACCTGCCTGGTCACCCTTGGTCAACCACGCGGGCACCGGCGTAGCCAGTGCTTGCACTGTCGCAGTGGATGCGAATTGTTTTGAAACATTTTTCTGAGCAAAACAGCCAAACATTTAACAGTCGGATGAGAAGCCATTAGGGTGGGGAGAGGGTGGGCTATTTCTGCTCAGCAAAAAATGCTGGTATGTCCCATTCACTATAAATCACAGGAACGGCTCAAATGAAGAAGACCCTCCGACCAATTAATGAACAATCATGCTTACAAAATATTCATTTTACCATCTTCCCATCCACATGTTTTAATGATCCAGTGACCTGGCCTCAATCACCCTTTCTGGTAACCTATTTCAGTCATTTATTATTTCATAATAAATAATAATCCTTACATTTGGTATATAACGTCGTTCATGTTGGGAGGATGTGCGCTTGTGTGCATTTGTAGGCGAACGAGGCAACCCAATTGCACATAGCAATATCCCACAAACAGCTATGAAATGAATGATCAATTTTATTTATTTTGTGAGATTGTTGGCCAGGACACTGGGAAAACTAACTTCTCTTTTTGAATAGTGCCATGGAATCTTTAACATCCACCTGAATAGGTAGATGCGCCCTCTATTTAATGTGTCATGCGAAGGACAGCACCTCCAACAATATCCTCTTGTTCTACTGCCTTGCTAAATCCAAATATATAATTCTGGGTTTATTTCCTCAAGTCGATTTATAATACAATACAAAATTACATTTGTATAGCTGAACGGTCAGGGATTAGGATCCGAGCGGGGTGGGGTAGTGGGGTTAGGATCAGGGAGAGTGGAGGGCAGAGATGGTAGCAAAGTTATGGTCGAAGAGAAGGGTCTTGAAGTGTGCCTTGAAGGAGGAAAGAGAGGGAGCAAGACATTGAGAATGTGGGATGGAGTTCCAGAGGGTGGGGGCAGAGAGGCTGAAGGCTCAACCGCCGATGGTGGGGCAGACCGGGTGGGAGACATGGAGCAGGCTGGAGCCTGCTAAGAGTAGGGAGCCGACAGGTTGATAGTGGGTTAGGAAGTTGGAGAAGTAGGAGGGGGCAAGGCCATGGAGGACCTTGAAGGTGAGGACGAAGATTTTGAACTCGATCCTCTGAAGGATGGGGAGCCAGCGAGGGTAGGGGTGATGGGGTCATGGAGCCTGGTGTGGGAGAGGACACGAACTGCAGGTTCTGGATAATCTGCAGTTTGTGGAGGGAACAGTTGGGAAAGCTGACAAGCAGGGCATTGGCATAGTCAAGCCTAGATATAATGAAGCCATGTATGAGGGTTTGGTGGCCTGAGGGGTGAGACAGTGGTGGATTCGGACAATGTTGCAGTGGTGGGGCTAATGCAAGGTGACCTTCAAGATGACCTTGTTAGCAAATATTGACCTTCATCTGCTCATACCCTATCATGCTCTCTTTGTAAAACCTTGCTGTCTTATCTGATTCCACATTCCCCAGACCCGCCCCCATCTGTAAATGTAACTGCCTCACATTGGGTCTGAGAATCCAGATCATTTACTTGAAGAGCACCTTTGTAGATGAGAACAAATGCTGCTGTTAAACCATGTAACATGAAACCCACTTAGATTCACTATATTTTAAGACAACACTTTTTCTTGCATAGATAATGTTACTCAGTGCACTGTGCTGCCTTTGAAGTCTGTCACAGATCAATGAACATTTTTTATTTAGGAGGTTTGACAAAAAGAATGCACACATACTGTTACTAAATCTCTCACGTGAACCACCAGTAACAATGCGTTGGAGGGAAATGCTAAAAAAAACAATACATGTAATGAGATTGATGGATACATTTATGTCAAGTCAGGAGGATGTCACAAAGTACTTCACAGGATATACTGTAGGGTACGGTAACTATCTGTTTTTTTGGTTTGGGCTAACATAGCAGACAACTTGCACACATTAATATTGCACAAACAATCATGAATGATTGTGAATGACCAATTTTATCTGTGGGATTATTGGACAGGACACTGGGAGAAACTCTTTTCTCTTTTCAAATAGTCATAGCATTTTTAATGTCCATCTGAACAGATCCCGTCTGCCAGTCCAGGTGGATGTTAAAGATCCCATGGCACTATTCGAAAAGAGAAGGGAGATTATCCTGTTGTCCTGGCCAGCAAAAAACAAAATAAAATTGATCACTCGCTCAATTGCTGTTTGCAAGACATTGTTGTGCACAAATTGGATGCTGCGCTCGCCCAAAAATACACAGTTGCACTTTACCAGTGAAGCGCTTTGAGACAGCTCTACAACGCGATAAGGTGTAATAAAAATGGAAGGATTATCATTAATATTACCAGGTAATTTACAGACAGTTTGCACAATGAGCGTTGTTTCTGCCCCTTCCTCTTGCCTATTGGTGAGGAGCCTCACAGTGGGGTTGGCAGGTTGAGCTGTCAATCAACACAGTGTCATATTCAGGCAGGACCTGGTGCCGGCAGGAGATAAGGATTTCTCTTAACACCCAACACCGGCCCAGCCTGTCAGTACACACTGGAGGAGGAAAACCAGAAATGGGAAAGTTTAGTGCAGAAATGCCCTAAATAAGTCCTACCCCCCAGTGATCAGGAAGCTGTGCTGCAAGGCTGAGCTGGGAGAGGAATGGGACAGGCTGGTTGGTGGCAGTGAATGTCGGTGATGAGTTGTGGAGGGGGAGGCGGTGGGAACCTGAACCTGAAGCAGAGTTGGCAGAAATGGGCAGATGATCACAGAGAGTCCCAGCGCCGCAACCCCTTCAGCGGCTCCCATTCAGTGACCGAGAGGCTGCGGCCAGGAGAGCAGGGATACGGGCTCCCCACCCAGGGCTCCCAGACCGAGCAGAGAGGGAGAGAGGCGCACTCCCAGGTGGGGAAAGAGATGGACGAGCTGCGGGGCATCATCAAAAGGATCGGAGAAGCCGGGCCGGACGGGAAAACTCGTGTCACCTTCGGACGCTTGTTTGATGCCTATGTGACAATCTCTAACAAAGTGGTGGGCATCCTGTTACGGGCCAGGAAACACGGTCTGGTTCATTTTGATGGAGAGATGCTCTGGCAAGGGAGAGACGATCAGCTCCTCATCACACTGGTAGATTGAAGAGACTGAATTTCCAGAGTTTGTGTCCCAACAAAACGTTGGCATATGTTTTATGAAATTGCACATCTTGATAACCTGTAAGAGAGTGAAAATGCACTTTTGGTCGGAATTTATTTACAGTGGCCCTTGCAATTGCTTTTGAGATTTCTTTTAAAAAAAAGATATTAAAAAACATGCTCTATAACAGGGAGGTCGATTTTTGAAATTGTGAGACAAGCAGATTCAAGACCCAGCTACCAGGAACACCACCAGAGGTCAGTCCGCAAGCAAATATGTTTCAAATTGTGGTTTGCAGAAAAACGTTATTTTCGACAAATTTCACACTGAACAACAATAAGACTTGCATTTAATATAGCGCCTTATCACGTCGCTGAGACGTCTCAAAGCGCTTCACAGAACATATTGTAAAGTGAATTGACTGTGTAATTTGTGGGCAAAACGCGGAAAACAATTGCCCACAGCAATGTCCCACAAAGAGTCGTGGATTAAATGACCAATTTTTTTTAAAAAAAAACTGTAAATACAGCGCCTTTCATGTCTAGAGGGCATTCCACTGCACTGAAGGTTACAGATAGCACTGCAAAGCTCAGGACGACTTGTATTAAGATATCAACAAGCATATCACAGATTTCTCAAAATCCTGCATCTGCTCCAGCAAGATTTTTGGGGGAAACCTGTCACCATGCTTAAGAGTATCCTAACCAACCTCAGAGTTCCATGCATCTCACCTATACATGGAAATTTCCTTGTATTGGAATGGAATTCACATTCTCTCTGGAGGGACATATCCTGCTTACCTAATTTCAGAGAAGTATTTGGTGCAGACAAGCAACAGCCATGTCCCAAGGCACTGACCACTTAATGTGCAGAATGCAAATGTACATGAGCCAAGAATTTTCCTGCAATCAATTGCAGATTATTCACTTGTAAATACTTAGCAATGATGGTTTAAATAGCTTTAAAAACCCATTGGTATCATACTGCATTCCTGTCAGCTGTCCCTTTACTATATATAAACTCCACAAGGAACAAACAAAACTGTGTGATCTCAAACATTGTTGTATTAAAAAGCCTGATATTTCTCCAACCTTTGATATATTGATAAGGAGATTTTATCCATAAGCAAGAGTTGCACAAAAATTTTAAACGATTGAGAGTTGCCAATATGAAATTAGCTTCAGCTTTTTGCTGCCATAACTTCCAGAATCAAAGCCTAATTGAAAATATCAAGGTTTTACAAGATATAATGGCAGGATTTACAAGGTACAAGAGTACAATGTTCAGTGTACAACATAACATGGATCATATCAGGTAGAAGGGAACAATTATTGGGTTGTACACACACTTCAAGGTTCATTTAAGACTTGTTAGTTACTAAAGGTTTCCTTTTGCAATTTGTGGTAATTATGTGACCTCCTTGCTTAGATATGGTGAGATCAACTAATGTCAAATGTGCCTGTTCAGGTGGACATTAATCCCATGGCACTATTCCAAAAGACAAAGGAGTTCCCAACAATCCTCCAGAAAAAATTGTCATTTACCTCATGGCTGTTTGCGGAACATTACTGTGCGAAAATTGGCTGCCTTGTTGGCCTACAAATACTTGGTACATTAACCAGAAAAAAAACATGAAGTGCTTTGAGACATTTTGACAATGTGAAAAGACATTATATGAGATCAGCTAATTCAGTATAGATTTGGGATAGACTCTGGAACCTCTTGGGACTGGGTGATGTAGTTATCCACCAGACACCTTCTGGAAACCAGAGGAAAGTCTCCCTCCCACAATGCAGTAATTTAATTTTACTCTTGGAGCAGTCATCCTACATGTGTAACCATAGAACTGCTGATTCCCAGGACATTATACAACAGGGCTAATATGAAGAGCTAAGGTGGTCTGAAAGGTCTTCTTGAATCAAACTTCTTCTGCACTAATTCCTTGTCTTCCGATAGATTACCTTGACAGTACACTGACAGTACAAATTACATCAATAATTTGCATGTGAAAGTAAGCAATCAAACACAAAAAGACATGAGAACAATATTAATGTTATCAATTTATTATCAAAAACAAATCAATTATTTTAAACATATCTCGCAAGAGTATATGGCAAGGACCAATGGGGTATGATTTTTATTTTATAACTTGAATCCATAACCTGGCACTGATAAAACAGCAACTGTTCTGAACTTGCAGTCAAGAGTGCAATGAAAACCAGGAAAGATAATGGTACAAGATATTCATTCTTAAAGATCCCAAGTTTGAGATTTGTAACCATGCCACACACCCCCTTCCGCCCTCCCATAAAAAAATCCTGTTTTATGTAAGGTAAAAGTGCTGACCCAGATGTCATTCCTATATACATCACTCAGCCAATAAAAGCAGAGCAGGTTATGGGACAACACTCAAAATAATTAAGGTGCAATAAAATTATCTCTCAAAACAAATTATAGCTTGAGTCGGAAACATTTGTTTTTAATCTGTCCTTTTATGTTTTAAAGAAAAGCTAGCTAGCATGTGAATCAGGGATCAGTACAGGATAGAAAGAATAATGTGATCTCTCCAATGGTGAATTAATAGGTATTGGCTTAACTTCACCATGGTTATGGTACTTGGTTGTGAGATGAGCTAAAGGATGCCATTACTTGGGGAATAATAGGAACAGTAGTAATAAGTCAGGGGCATATTTGAGCTTGGCAATATGGATGGTCAAGCTACAGAACACAGGATACAGAATGTCTGAGTCTATGTATGAAAGAGGACAGAGTTGAGGCTGACAGGGGATATTTAGTCCCAAACACTCAGTTCTGTTTGTTGAGGTATAGGTATTATGCATGGCACAATGCTTATTCTAATTTTCATACAATACATTTACAAAAGTCTTGAGTTAGGACTTGACATCACTTTTGTTCAAAATGGCACAAATATGCTATAATAATGGATCTAGTTTTAATGTTAGAATGAATATATATCGCCCTTCATAGTGTAGCATCTTGGAGCCGTTACATCTGTTAACCATAGTATACGTTAGAAGTGTGACTTACAGAATTACCTGGAGAACTAATGGAACTAAAACAGATAAAACTACATGAGCAGTCTCGTGAATGGTTCTAGATAACCAAATTTTTAATATTTCATATGCAGTAATATTAAATTATTATTATTATTAATATTAAAAGTTTACAGAACCTCTTTGTAACTGTTTGATACTAAAGTTGGTGCAATTGTATATTTCTCATAAGAGTATTTCACTTAAACATGACTTACAAAATGATCTTCTCATTGAACTTCTTCACTTTTTCTAACTTTTAAAGTTATCAATGAACCATCACTGGTCCGGCTAAATTTAGTGACATTGTCCAACGTCAAGGTATTACATTTTGGTAGTCCAGATTTAACAGAGCTTAGAAAAATGTTGAAAGAGGATTATGTGGGCATAACAGTGCATATTGTATTAAATACAGAAAAGGCCACTCTTCAATTACAATAAAAGCCAGAGACATTTGTGAAACATTGTACAATTAAATAAACTCAAACAGATAAACAATCAACAATAGTCTTAAAACATGAAGTAACTGTCTGGAATTATCCAAAAGGATTTAACTGGATGGATTTAGCTTTTGCTGTCTCCTGGGAGGGACTTTAATCTTTCAATCAACTGGTCAACCTTCAAGAGAACAAAAACAAGTCAATATTCTGATCATTCAGACAGTTATAAAAGGAAATTTTATTTTTTATGTACGGTGAATTCCGGATAAATCCAATACCAGAGACCTTTGCGCTACATCTGAGCATTTGCACCCAACCTCTGCTGAGCACCTGCACCAGTCACAGGATAGAGCAAGAGGCCTCGGCAAGGCAAGACATCATCTTTTAGGACAAATTATCCAATCAATTTTACATTGTATTTACAAAAAATTCTAGATTGCGACTCGTTACTTATTAAGTGAGTGACAAGTAAAGTGATGTCACTTATTAATATTTTGCATGGGAAGTAGCTGGGATATTGACAGCAAGGGACTTAAGTGGCCAGAGACAAGTTAAGCCAGAGTCAAATTTTCTGAAGTTTTCTGTATTCATCTGAAATCCAAGTCATAAAATGTGGTGCAGCTCAATTAACCCAAATAGCCCTAACATACCAAGTTGGACTGGGTAATTAGCAATTTGTTAATCAAAAGTATTTTGTAGGGTCTTATATTGCAGAGGTTTAGAACACAGATCTTTCCTCTCTTGCACTTGGATTTAAATCCAAACCAGCATCAAAGTTTGCTCTTCTGCTGGCTCTCAAACGTCCTCTGAAGAACATTGGAGAGTCTCAATCTATTTCCTTCTATTTTTTCTGTTTCCCCTCCCCCCCACAGCAGCACAGATTTCCACAAATTAGTACAAATTATCAATCTCATAGGAAGAAATTACCTACCGTTATGAACCAGTAAGAATTTGATTTATAAACCATTCTTGATAGGAATCCCATGCGACTGGCTGGAGCCAGGACGTGCAGATGCAAATGTGCCATTGAGCAGAATGGGGGCCAATGAAACCCCAGCCTGTCAACAAATTCAATAAATTATCAGTCTTGATAGCCTCATATGTAACAAATGGCACCATTTTAGCTGGCCCACATTTTACGTTTATATTGCTGCAGTGCTACTGAAAGTTCATAGGTAAATGTTAAGATACCAATTCATTCGGAACACTAGTTTGTGTTTGCCAATGCACAAATTACTGTCCTTCACAGTGCTTTACCTACCTCACATCAGCCAAGTCACTGAAACCTTTTTGTTGCAGTACAGATTTTCCAACCTCCACCATCTTTTCAACTGTTCAATAAAACAGAATTTTAACAAATTAAAACTAAGAATCACTGATGCATATCAGAGTAGCAAACAGTTTATACCGATATATAAAAATAGGAACTGGTAAACCTAAAGCTCCAGTTCAATGCAGGTCTCTTTCATTTTATGTTCTGTCACATTCTGGTCATACGAAAACAGTGATACGATAATTCTGCTGCCCAATGCCCCACTCCCACTCCCATCCTCTTCTAACAATGAAGACCTGCAGTTCTGACACAATTTTCATCTTTTTAAAAAACAAAATTTAAAACTACATTTGTTAACAAATATGCTTCACTGGTTAAGAATATTTTGATTATATGTAACAGAAGATCTCGTGTTGTCTCTTCTAAAGATCTTGCAGATGATGCTGTCTCTGATTAGATTTTATCACACTAATTTCCCCCCATTGCTCCTCTGCTTTCCTCACGTACACTTGTGCAGTCTCTGGTAAATGCAAGTGGCATCCAACTTTTAAGTATCAAGCTATCACTTTTAGAGCAAGAATGCTCATTCACGTCTCATTGAGATCTGTCCGAAGGTTCACAGGTTTTGTAGCTGAACTGGGAACTTTTCTGGTGGATTAAGTTCTCCCAGAATTATTGTTGAGTCTTGCCTTCTGAGGACATTAACATAGTGACTACACCTTGAACTTCAACAATATAATATTCTTTTCAAATACTATCTTTACCTTTTTAACTTGGTGATGATGCACAACTCTGATCACCGAGTCCTGTAACTCAGTGGTTAGAGCATTCGCCTCGCAAGCGAGAGACCTGAGTTCAATCACAGAGGGCAAAATGTTGGGCAAGTTTCCTTACTCCACACACCTCTGTTTAACTAACTGTAAGTAGGAACCTGGTTGTTAGTTGATTGGCAGATCGCTTTTCGCTTTTAGGGTCTAATAGAATACCTTACCCCAGGAGATATTTGTAGGGTGGAAGTCATGATAAGGCAGGTTTATTAAATGGTATCAGGAAGAGTGGTAAACCAAATCAACATTTATCATTCCTTGCTTTCTTACATAGCATTTTTTTTCTAAATTTTTCTCAAATACTTGCTTAAACATGGTTTTTGTATTTAATAGATTTCTAAAAAACTCTGGTTTAGTCTGGATGAAATGTGATAAAGTACAGTAAATGTATCAGTTGTGATAGTAAAACATTTCACAACCCTTACCTTAATCCCTAATTCTTTACCTTAATTAAACCAACACTAGTTAACAGTTTGCCAGTCTCACCTGTAGATACATGCTCCTTCTTCAAGGTTTTGCAGTTTCCTATGTGATTTCTTGGCACCACAAGATAGTGATGGGGTGCTCCTGGTCGGACGTCCTTAAAACAGGCAAACTGGTCATCCTGAACAAAAATTTGATCAACGGCATTATTTTCAATAACTTCTATAAACTCCTTTGTCTTTTAAAACAGACCAATCTTACAGTTTTTGTAATTACAAATTTGGCACTTTAATGAGATTGAACACCCATCTCTGGACTAGTTATTCTAGTTACAATAAGTATGTATTGTCACCTGATGCCAATTTGGCATGTTGGTAAACTCTTACAAAATTTATTATTTTTGTACAAAATTAATTACTGGCTGTACAGGAGTTTTGCCTTTCTCCTTGGCTTTTTGTGATGTTCTTATTTTGGTTTGGTAGCCTGACTCAGTTGGTGGCAGTCTTGCTTCTGAGTCAGAAGATCGTGGGTTAAAGTCTCAGGCAGGACTGGGCTCAGTCTAGGCTGTCACTCCAGTGCAATACGGGCGTGTGCTGCATTCTCAAAGATGCCGTCTTTTGGAACTCAAAGTTAAATCAAAGTCCCGTTAGTCTGTTCAGGTCGATGTTAAAGATCCCATGGTACTACACAAAAAGAGAATTTCTCCGGTTCCTATCCTGGGTTCCAATCCCCCAAGATGAAGTGGGTGCTTTTAGACCTCCTCCCAATATGAAATAAAATAATGAATCCTTACATCTGATATAGCTATTTTCACATGGGAGGATGCCTCAGTGCTTCACTAAATGCACAGTAAACTCCGGATAATTCATTCCAAGGGAAAAGAGCTCAGTGTTATCCAGAGTGGCCAGTGAGTCATACGTATGAATAAATAAATAAATAAAAATGCAGCCGACATATTGACAGAATGATGACACAGGTCAGGGTGGTCCAACTGACATATACTGGTATATTATAATAATAATAATAATAATCCTTGCATTTGATATAGCGCTTTTCACGTCGGGAGGACGTCCCAAAGCGCTTCACAGAACACACTGTAAAGTGAATTGACTGTATATTTGTGGGCGAACGCGGCAGCCAATTGCGCACAGCAATGTCCCACAAACAGTCGTAGATTGAAAATGACCAATTTAATTATTGTTTTTGGTTTTTTGGAGGGATTATTATTAGGCGTGTGGAGTAAGGAAACTTGCCCAAGGTTTCACCCTGCCTGGAATTGAACTCAGGTCTCTCGCTTGCAAAGCGAGTGCTCTAACCACTGAGCTACAGGACTCCACAATATTATTATTTTATTAATATTATAAACATATATTTTATATTATTAGATGTTATTGTATTATATTGTGTTATTAATACTGTGAACATACAGTATTATGGTGTTTTATATTTATATTAGTGCATTGTTACATTATTAGGATATTATTAAGTTACATTATGTTATTAATATCATAGATATATGATGGTATTGTATATATTGTATATGGTGTTATTGTATATGATGATACCGTATATGCTAATCCTGTTTATGGTGATATGTATATGATGATTTTGTTATTGTTATAGTATATGATATTGTATATGGTGATATTGTTATAGTACATGATGATGTTGTTGTTGTATATGGTGATTTGTTGTTGTATATAGTGATGTTGTTGTAGTATATGACGTTGTTGTAGTATATGGTGATGTTGTTGTAGTATATGATGGTGGTGTTGTTATATATGGTGATGTTGTATATGGTGTTGTTGTACATGGTGTTGTTGTAGTATATGGTGGTGTTGTTGTTGTATATGGTGATGTTGCTGTAGTATATGATGATGTTGCAGTATATGATGTTGTTGTAGTAGTATATGGTGATGATGTTGTTGTATATGGTGATGTTGTTTTTGTTGTATATGGTGGTGTTGTATATGGTGGTGTTGTTGTATATGGTGTTGTTGTAGTATATGGTGGTGTTGTTGTATATGGTGGTGGTGTTGTTGTATATGGTGTTGCTGTAGTATATGGTGGTGGTGTTGCTGTGGTATATGGTGGTGGTGTTGCTGTGGTATATGGTGTTGCTGTGGTATATGGTGTTGCTGTGGTATATGGTGGTGGCGTTGCTGTAGTATATGGTGTTGCTGTGGTATATGGTGGTGGTGTTGCTGTAGTATATGGTGTTGCTGTGCTATATGGTGTTGCTGTGGTATATGGTGTTGCTGTGGTATATGGTGTTGCTGTGGTATATGGTGGTGGTGTTGCTGTAGTATATGGTGTTGCTGTGCTATATGGTGTTGCTGTGCTATATAGTGTTGCTGTGGTATATGGTGTTGCTGTGGTATATGGTGTTGCTGTAGTATATGGTGGTGGTGTTGCTGTGGTATATGGTGGTGGTGTTGCTGTGGTATATGGTGTTGCTGTGGTATATGGTGTTGCTGTGGTATATGGTGGTGGCGTTGCTGTAGTATATGGTGTTGCTGTGGTATATGGTGGTGGTGTTGCTGTAGTATATGGTGTTGCTGTGCTATATGGTGTTGCTGTGCTATATGGTGTTGCTGTGGTATATGGTGTTGCTGTGGTATATGGTGTTGATGTGCTATATGGTGTTGCTGTGCTATATGGTGTTGCTGTGGTATATGGTGTTGCTGTGGTATATGGTGTTGCTGTGGTATATGGTGTTGCTGTGGTATATGGTGTTGCTGTAGTATATGGTGTTGCTGTGCTATATGGTGTTGCTGTGGTATATGGTGTTGCTGTGGTATATGGTGTTGCTGTGGTATATGGTGTTGCTGTGGTATATGGTGTTGCTGTAGTATATGGTGTTGCTGTAGCATATGGTGTTACTGTGGTATATGGTGTTGCTGTGGTATATGGTGTTGCTGTGGTATATGGTGGTGGTGTTGCTGTGGCATATGGTGTTGCTGTAGCATATGATGGTGTTGTTGCTGTGGTATATGGTGTTGCTGTGGTATATGGTGGTGGTGTTGCTGTGGTATATGGTGTTGCTGTGGTATATGGTGTTGCTGTGGTATATGGTGTTGCTGTAGTATATGGTGGTGGTGTGGTATGTGGTGGTGGTGTGGTATGTGGTGGTGGTGTTGCTGTGGTATATGGTGGTGGTGTTGCTGTGGTATGTGGTGGTGGTGTTGCTGTGGTATATGGTGTTGCTGTGGTATATGGTGTTGCTGTGGTATGTGGTGGTGGTGTGGTATGTGGTGGTGGTGTTGCTGTGGTATGTGGTGGTGGTGTTGCTGTAGTATATACTGGTGGTGTTGCTGTGGTATGTGGTGGTGGTGTTGCTGTGGTATATACTGGTGGTGTTGCTGTGGTATGTGGTGGTGGTGTTGCTGTGGTATGTGGTGGTGGTGTTGCTGTGGTATATGGTGGTGGTGTTGCTGTAGTATATACTGGTGGTGTTGCTGTGGTATGTGGTGGTGGTGTTGCTGTGGTATGTGCGGTGTTGCGGATCGCTGTCGCCTCACCAGGTGCAGCAGCTCCACCGCCTCCTTCTCGTTGCCGATCTTACAGAACAGACACTTGTGGTCCAGGCCGCTGTCCTCCGCGCTCACAGCTTCACTGGGCGCCTTGGCCTCCCTCCCGGCCCCGGGCTCCCCACAGCCCAGCCCCGCCGCCCCGGCCTCACAGCCCGGCCCCGCCGCCCCGGCCTCACAGCCCGGCCCCGCCGCCCCGGCCTCAGCCTCCAGCACCTGCACCCCGTCCGTCGCCATGACAACCCTCCAGCAATCAACCGCCGAGAGCTCGATCACCCCCAGCAATCAACCGCCGAGAGCTCGATCACCCCCAGCAATCAACCGCCGAGAGCTCGATCACCCCCAGCAATCAACCGCCGAGAGCTCGATCACCCCCAGCAATCAACCGCCGAGAGCTCGATGTTGTGGTGGGGCTCTGTTGCTCTGTGCTCTGCACAGCGCCCTTCACACTGTGGTGATAATGATAATGATAAACCTGGTGTTTGATGCAGTGCGGTGTCACATCACTGGGGTCGCTTTTCCAGGTGGTAATTCAATCCCTTCAAAAAAAAAACATTTTTAAAAAAAGTAATGAATTGGTCGCTTCGGCCCACGGCTGTTTGTGGGGCACTGCTGCGCGCAATTGGCTGCCGGGTTTCACCCACAAATATACGGTCAATTCACTTCACAGTCTATTCTGTGAAGCGCTTTGAGACGCCGAGAAGACGTGAAAAGCGCTATATCAAATGCAGGGATTATTAGAATATTCAGGCGTCTGAAAGCGCTTCATAGAATATACTGTGGATTGACTGTATATTTTGTGGATGAAACATCTGCATCTCCCAAATCACTTGACGGTAGGATGGTGATGGATTTGGCCAGAAGGACAAGAGCTCAGGAAAAAGAAGCAAAAACGGAGTGCAAACAGCAGACGAGTAAAACATTGGACCCCAAGGATTCTACCTTAATTATAGACCACGATAGTGCTGAACACGCACATCACGTTTGTCTCCTCCGGGGAACCCCGTGTATATTATTACATTGACATGTTAGAACCTGCTCCGAGGCATTTGGATTGGAGTTAAGTTTTCATAGATCAGTGCAATGTATAATGCTTGCATTTGATGTAGCACCTTATGACATAGTCAAGACATCTCAGAGTGCTTCACAGGATATATTATGTGTATTTTGTGGGTGAACGCAATGTCCCACAAACAGCAATTGAGTGAGTGACTAATTTTATTTGGGTTATTGTTGGCCAGGACACCAGGATAACCTCCCTTCTCTTTTTGAATAATGCCGTGGGATTGTTAATGTCTACCTGCACAGACAGATAGGACCTCAGTTTAACTTCTCAGGCTAAGGATGGACCTCCGACAACGCAGCACATTGCACTCGTGTACTCCAGGTGCTGATGTGTCCACTTACCACTAGGCGGCTCACAAGCAATTGAATCTTAACCTTGGTGCTGATTAAAGTTCCCAAGGAATTATTATGAAGTATAGCATTTAATTTTCTATCTACATCACATTAATCATGATCAGAGTCTGGGTTTCTGTCTGAAACAGACAGCTAACCATTTGTTCCTCAAGCCTTATTTTCTAAAAATGTAACTGCATTTGGACACGCACGTATGACACGCATGCATTCTGGTAGGTCTAAATCTTGCATGCAAGCAAGGGCTGTGTGTTTGGTATATATGGAATCAAGATACTCTGCTATCTTGAAAAATAATACTGTAATACATTATCCCAGTGCACGATTTATAAAACATTTGTGACAAAAATAATCTTAACAATTTATGGAGATATTGAAGTAATATCCCTTGCAAATCTAGGAAATACAGGACTAATAAATCTTATAATGGTTATAGACAAATACAATAGCTAATCTGCACCAATAATGCCTCACTGAGGTAATGGGTAATGAGAAATAACAAACTTAATCTGTTTTGGTGAATTTGACCAGGACATTGTGAGACCACCTGACTATTCAATGTAATGCCTTGGGAGTTTTAATCATCTCTCCTCCCAGCTGCACCTCCACCATTCTGTCCTTTTCTAGTGTATCATATGAATGTCTTCAAAATTCTTTGCTCTGTGAGCCTATCACCCCATTCTGATGCAGCTATACTGGCTCCCCACCCCCCAACAGATCAAATTCAAGATTTTGTCCTCGAATTCAATCCTGAGCTTAATTTGCAACCTCCCTCAACCCTACCACCTTGGCCGCTCCCATCACTCAGCGGCAACGGAATGTCAGAATCAGGTTAATCCTCTCCAACAGATTGGTTCTGAACCAGGTGGGTCCACAGTACTATGCTAACAGCCCAGCCAGTCTGGCTCATCAGCAGTACTTGAAGGGTAGACCTGTCACAGAAGACATGAAATCTTCCCACTCAGCTCCTGTTAACCCTGCAAGTCAAAGCGTTAGCAGCTAGGGTGGTCCTAGATCAACATGCTTGCCAGACAGTGCTCTCAATGACAAACTAAGCAGTGTTAGCCGGCTAAACCCCAGGGGTACCCCAACGGACATCTGGGGTTCCTATTCCTTGGATCTTGACAACATATGTCAAATACTTTCCAGAATAAGGTAAGTAGGATGTGTCACTCTGGAAAGCATACGTATTTCATTTTTAGATACAGAAAGATTTCCCCAATAAGTGGGGAAATCTTAAGTGGAATTCTTAAGTCTGGTTTCGTTATTCTCAACTGGTTTAACTGTGGAGTCCTGCAGCTTAGTGTTTAGAGCATTAACCTCACAAGTGAGAGGATCTGGGTTCGATTCACAGGCAGGGCAAAACGTTAGGCAGTTTCCCTAATCCATACGCCTGTTTACCTAGCAGTAAGTAGGAACCCAGTTGTTAGTCGATTGGCGGACGGCTTTTCTGGGGGTAATAATCCCTTCGAATTCAAGATCCTCACCTACAAGGCCATTCACGGCCTTGCTCCCTCCTACCTCTCCGACCTACTATCCCCCTACCTACCCGCCCGTACCCTCCGTTCCTCTGGCTCCGGTCTGCTCCACATCCCCTGCCCCAACCGCCATACCATCGGTGGCCAGGCCTTCAGCCTCTCAGGCCCTAGGCTCTGGAACTCTATCCCCCAGTGCCTTCGCCGCTTCCTCCCTTTCCTCCTTCAAGGCCGGTCTCAAGACCTTTCTCTTTGACCGTGCCTTCAGCTCCCCTCTCGACTCTCTACCCCCTCCTCGCTCCCTCCCTTCCCTCCCCTCACCCTGACCATTTCCCCCCTGCTCGGGTCCTGACCCAACTGTCCATCGCCTTGGGACGTCCTCCCGACGTGAAAGGCGCTCAATAAATGGAATCGTGTTGTTGTTGTTAAATTCAATAGTTTGGTCACTCAATCCATGGCTGTTTGTGGGACACTATTGTGCACCTACAAAATATATAGTGAATATATAAATTAACTTTACAGTATATTCTGTGAAGTGCTTTGAGACGTCTCAAAGATGTGATAAGACAATATATCAAATGCAAGGATTATTATTATTATATTATTACTAAGCATGGTGATGGACTTCCAGATGTCAAGAGACTTCTCACCAAAAAAAAGTCAATTCTAGAGGACAATATATAAAAAAAATACCAATTTTAATTGTCAGATAAAGCTAATACAACATGCTAGATATATTCTAACTGTACTCAATACTTAGTAGGGGAATATAATATTCTCGTACCTCATTGAAAATCTGCCTGCAAGGTACTTTACAAGAGATATAAAAGTACTATTCTCACTTGACTGCACTTGAAGAAGTCAGATTTGTGTGTTCAGTAAATGGATATAATCAGTTCATGCTTCTTTGCTCCTAACAAACATCAATTCTGCAAGGTTCAGCATTATTTGAAGTACACTGATTTATTGTAAATACTGTAACAGTGCTGCAGTGCATAGCTTCTTAATGACATTCACAGCTCACTGCATTCAGACAGTTTTGGTTACTCTGATACACTAAAGCCGACTGTGTTAAACAATATGATTTGTAGGCTAGCATTCAACAAATACTGAACTGTAGAAAAACAAAACTGGTAAATATTTGATGCCATACTTAGCAATTTTTAAAACTGTGCTAGAGCAGTTCAACAGCAAACAGAACGTTAGCTGCAAAACAACAATTTGCACTTAACTAGCACCCTTTAAGTAGGGTAGCATCTTCAGGTGCTTAGCAGTGGCGGAGGTCGATTCCGTGTCAGGAAAAGTGACCGAAGGCACAGTTGAACGACAAATTACATTTGTATTTTCATGTAGGGAGGATATCCCAAAGCGCTGGACAGTCAGGGATTTGGACACGAGCAGGGAGTTGGGATCAGGAGGGGTGGAGACCAGGGAGGCGTAAGCAGAAGGTCTTCAGGTATGAGTTGAAGACAGACAAGGAAGGGACAAACGCAAACATCTGATTTGCATTTAAAATGCACTGCTCTTTATTTCTAACTCCTGATCTCTGGTAAGAATTAAAAGTAAACATGGTGCCTTATGGAAACACGTTTATTTTCTACCACAATTTAAACCACATGCTCCAGAAAAAAATCAAATCTACAGAACATACATTTTAGCTTGTTAGCCTTCTCAAAAGTTTGACGTAGCTTCTTTAAAATCTGTTCAACCACTTTACATAGACAATCTAGAAATCGAACAGGTGATTTTTTTTGCATTACATTTAGTTGTACAACCTTAATTGATTGAAGATGAAGTGCAAATTATGTATTGATATCATGTAGATTTGATTCTTTACAATTCAAATTGTGCATAGTGCTGAAGATACTAACTTCTTTCAAAGTACTATGATCTTCCCTTTGTGCATTACAAATGGTTCCTTTCCTAACCCAAGACGATGGAATTTTCAACTGAGAACTTTNAAAAAAATGGGTACACAAAAAACAAATGTTTTACATAATGTTTTGATAAATGTAAACAAAATCTTGAAATGTGTCATTCAGTGCCTGCACCGATACAAACTGCAACCCTGAACTCTGGGTAAGTAAAACATTTAATCCACAGCCAAAACCAAATATAAACAAATTAAGTACAACAACATTATAACAACCCTCGTAGAGTTTCAATCCATTTTTCCAGGATCATAGACTGCAATTTGTTCTTCCCTTTTCAAAGGAATTTCTTTCTAAGAAGAAGAAATAGGTCTGCAATTCCGCAGAACATATTTTTAAAAATCCTAGTCAGGATTTTAAGTAAACGTGATAAAACAATTAAAAAACTGAACGACTAGCTTGAGAATATTGGACATGCCTTTTACATGCATTATGTTGCCATTAAATGTTTTCATTAATATTCCTTAGAAATGAATAGCACTGTCTTGTGCTATAGCTTTGGCAATGCTAGCAGCTCATAGCTTTCACTCTGATCTATCATATAGTATGTAAGACTTTAAAAGAACTAGATCTGTCAGACAAAACTCTTTTTGCTTGTTCATACCCAAAATGCTTTTATTGGTCAAAAACATTCCACCGATTCAACCAATTTCCTATTGCACAGAAGGTGTGTGGGTCATGGTTAACGTATGACAAAACACACAGCAAATTGTCATCTTTCTGGAGACTTGTTCAACGCAATTTCCCTCACAGCTTTGAAAGGAATAAGCTTATGCATTCAGAGACATGCTCCTTTACAGAGTGGGTTGCCACGCTGAACACTACAAGGCAACTAGCTTATCACAACCATCCAATGCTCCAAACAGAAAATTCTGGTCCGACTAATAAAAGGTCAGCCAGGTTTACACAAAAGTCCACACTTCAATGGTCTGCACGATGAAGTCTTCTTTTCTTGACAGTATTTCGTTGTTAAATGTGTTGCATGGGTTGCTTCGTCCACGATATAAATCTGCATCGAGCCAGAGCCCAAAGTGCCCACTGAAAACACAAATTTAAAAACAATATTAGTTGCAATGAAATTAATATAATTTTTCTCAAAAGAGTCATTGCACATTATTCACCATCTTTATTGTGCTTAAAGCACAGTTGTTTTATTAAAAAGTCTACCAAAGTCAACAAGTACATTAAAAACCCTGTACTTTCAATTGTGGGAAATGGATTCAAATCCCAGCTTGTAAATATGAATCAATAAATACACAGATTTAGCTTCAGTATACTTAGTCACTGAAAGGTGACTAAGTATACATTGTCAACACAATTCTCAATGGTTTCAAGTCTAAATTGTGTCACATTAATGCAGAATGGATGTTCTGGGAACGAGTTTGATACAAATGCACAGGTGCTTTATTCTTATTTCAGACTGTAGGAGTGCAAAAAGTGGAAAAACTATCTTCTTTCCCAGCAATTTGATGACTATAAAAGTCACAGAGTTCACTACCTCTTAAGAATATATTTAAATGGAACAAAAAAAAGCTTTTGTTATAATATATCCCTTTTTCTCTCCTTACAATATGCACTTCCCCTTCCTACCTAACTGAAGTACTGTACTTCGATGTACCTGTTAGATGCCCGACTATACATAATTGTATGCAAACTGGTTGACTGGGAAGAATGTAGAACATTAAGGCTTAAACACACATTTTGGTCTAGACTAACATACTCTACTTCTAAAGCAATTGGGTCACAGTGTGGTTCTGTCTGACAGAACTCATGTATCTACTATAACTCTGGTTGCAATAAGATCATTCCAATAACACACACCATATGAATTCAGATTACAAATTATATCTGCTCAAACTACCCAAGCACAACATTTGTCAAAAGAAACCACATTAATATTTGTACAAAATAGCTAGTGTAATGGATACATACTCTCCTCCACCTAGTTCCAAAGAATCTCGGTCTCCTTTAATGAAATACGAATTTTCTCCACTCCACCTGAATATCTGTTGAAAATGAAATGTATTCAATTTATAGTCACATGATAAAGAATGGTTTATTTAGGTTGCAGCATTAAACATACTGAATTAGAGGGCTACCAGCTGTATTCAGATTCCATATTACAGCATTATCCACTACATTCTGAAACTTATTCAGTGAATGAATATGAGAAGGATTATTCTTTGCAATGTAGGAACATCTCCCAACTACCCTCGCATCCAAGACGCAAAGTTTACCTTGAACTCTGGATTGAATGTGTAAAGGAAAGTTTCTCCTGTACCAAAGCAGTGGTCACTTAATCTGAAAGGGTGCGATGCTAAAGCTCCAAATACCTGTAAACACAAAAACATTTTTAAAAAACTTTGCTTTTTCTCTTTTCCTGTCTTTTTACAACTGAAAATGTATTCATTTCATTACCTGATTATCCATGTCTTTGACTACTAGAAGAACAGGACTATCAACGGCTGCCAAGCAGCGGTACATTGTTCTTAAGCTTGTTCCATGAACTGCTGTACTGTACATTAATTGCCATGCATATCCCTGTGTTCTTGCAGGAAGGCATTGTGCAAGCTGGAAAGAGGAACACATTTCAAAACGAATAAGTATCTCTGCACTGAAAATATCCAACTAAGGGTAACAGCGTCATGGTTCACATATTATAGAAAGTTTATAGCACACAGCCTATTGGGTCTGTGCTGGTTCTAGGTGCCCATTCAAACCACTAAAACTTATTCTCCTGCTATTTTCCCATATTAGTCACCAGTAGTTATCCTGTTCCCTTTTATTGCTGCTGCTTCAAAAGCCATTTGTGGTAAAGTATTCCAAATTCTGTGTAAAAAAAATAATTATCCTTTTTTTCTGTTAATAATCTTCAATTTATGACCCGTTACTGTCTCTGAAAGCCTTCGCTATTTTGAAAATCTCTATCAGATTCCCACTTAAACTATTCTGCTCTAACAATTCTAATTTAAAATCTCTTGACAGAACTATAATAATAATAATAATAATCCTTGCATTTTGGTATAGCGCTTTTCACGTCAGGAGGACGTGAAACTATAAACTATAACTATAAACTAGAACTATAATTTCTTAGCCCTCATCATCCTAGTGAAATATTTTTACCTTTTCAATGTGCAATCTTTCCAAGAGATCACTGACATCTGTCAGCACAGGCTGGAGATCTTCTGCCTCTTCCTCATAAAAACTGCCAACACTCTGACGCCTTTTAGCCTCTTTAATGGTGATGATCTGTAACATTAAATACATTTATTGGATTTTCAGCAATCGCTAGCTTTCCGATTAAAATAAAAAACAAGAACTAAATTATAAGAGGGGCATATTTTAAATCTGCCAAAACCCGAACTACAATATTCTATTTCTAAACATATATTAGCACAAATTATTGAATAATGACTTAATGTGACAAATTTCTAAATTTGTAATAGATTTCTCACAGTAGCTAAAACTACATATACTATAAAAATTCCTACATCAAACACTCCAAGATATAAAAATAATAATCCTTGCATTTGATATAGCGCTTTTCACGTCGGGAGGACGTCCCAAAGCGCTTCACAGAACACACTGTAAAGTGAATTGACTGTATATTTGTGGGCGAACGCGGCAGCCAATTGCACACAGCAATGTCCCACAAAACAGTCGTAGATTGAAAATGACCAATTTATTATTGTTTTTGGTTTTGGAGGGATTATTATTAGGCGTGTGGAGTAAGGAAACTTGCCCAAGGTTTCGCCCTCTGCCTGGAATTGAACTCAGGTCTCTCGCTTGCAAAGCGAGCGCTCTAACCACTGAGCTACAGGACTCCACAAAGATGCTACTTGCTTGAAGGACACCAAACGCAAGTTGCTGTTGCAGATTAATATCATCTACCTTTCAGCTGCATGGAACAACCATTGAAAATTTATATTCCAATTATTTCAACCTCCTTAGTTGCTCACTCCAGCTCGTGAAGCCAATACAAAACTCAATGTATTATTCAGCCTTCACCTCTCCTTTGAAGTTTTTCACTCGGATCAAGATGACTGCACCTATTTTGCTGTCTATTATTTCTACACTTAATTTAAATCTTCAAATAACTTTCAAAAAACTACAGGATATATAATATTCCTTTTTTTAAAATTGTAACTTAAAGAATTAATGATTAAAGACGGTTGAATCTTCCTACTGAATGGCCCTGACTGATCTGTCTGTTTGGTGAACATTGGACTAATTCATGTCCCCCTCCCTGTCTGGCTCACCATTGGCACATGAGCTTTCAGCAATTTTGCTCTGCTCTCTGGAACTCCATCCCAGAGTCCCTTTGACTCCCTCCCCCACTTTGTTGACCATGCTTTAGGCCATCTTTCCCCTCCCTACCCTGTTCAGCTTCCACCATCCAAGTGCCCAGCCAGTTGTGTGAAGCGCTTTGACATGACCTCCCAACGTAAAAGACACTACATAAATGTAAATTGTATCGTATGTATGTAACCAGTTTTGTTTCAACATGAATGCTGAATTCAAGTAAAATAAGCTTCCTTCCAAATTGAATGAAATAAAATCGTAGTCTTTTACAAAATATGAAAGCACATTTTTTAAATGAAAACATTTTTTAATAGATAAACAGAAAATTACTTCCTTATAGTGTTCTACCTAGAATAATATTCCCGTTCTAAAAAAAATGAATACCAATTCAAAATGAACAAGCATAAAAATAAGAGCAGCACCTAACCTGCACATATGACCCATCGTTTGCCTTTGCCTTGTACACAATTCTAATATTAGCTGGTATCCTAGGACCTCTCATTACTGCATCTGCACTTCCACACAGCTCTGGACTATCATCGAGAGTGGTAAGTACTTACTAGATTGTTAAGCTTTATATGATTGATAGTTGCAATACAGTTTCGATTTTCCATTCGTCAAACAACTTTCGATTTCTCAAACTGAAAACACCCCCGGATTAGACCCAATACGGGAAGTTAGTCAACAATTACGTGTATTTCCTGAACATCTGTCACAGGATAATCAGGGGAAAGATCTGCCCTTTTGTTAACAAACTGATTTTATGAACTAAACAGACTTTTAAACTATTTAGATTCAATTATCTAAACTCTTCACTATAGTATGCTGCATACCGAAAAAGGTAGAATTTTACTCATGCAATTTGTTTTGTGTTGTGGTGAGTAATAACTATAATCATTTTGTGCGGTGGAGGTGGTGTTGCTCTTCCTCCTCCACATGTTGTGACAATCACCGGTATGTTATACAGGTGTTATGAACAACAACTTGCGCTTATTGAAAACCTTTCACATAGAATGAATGTCTCAAATGCTTAACAATTATAATGGAGGGTAGGGGGGAAGGGATGCTGAGCAAAAGCATGGTCAGATCATTTAGATTTACACATGCAATCTAAAATTTCTAAAAAGGTATTGTAGCAAAATAAAGGATTTGCTTTATCCTATTTATTATTGTATTAAAGTTAAAATGATCAAAGTATCCAGACATATGACATATTTAGGTTCAGTAGCTCAGTTTTGCCCATAAAATATACAGTCAATTCACTTCATTCTGTGAAGCGCTTTGAGACTTCTTGAAGACATGATAAGGCGCTATATCAAATGCAAGGATTATTATTAATGCACTGTAAATAATCCTTTAAAAATGTAATCATTACATGTACATAAAAAATTATTAATAGAAATAAATGCCAAGAAAATACTTTTTTTAAAACTCACACAAGCTGTTCATTTGAATACATGTATTAATGATCCTGCCATAATTAGTTATTTTCATTGAAAAATAAAATATTCATATCAGTGTTTATTTCCTTTGAAATAATTGTAACAAAGTTCAAGAAAAGTGCATGCTCCATTGGAGTGTGATTATGCAACAATTTAGCTAAATGCCACAGAATAACCTACAATGCTACATGAGGAAGGAATACCAACAGAAACTACAGCAGTTTGTTTTATGCATTTGTCCTGTTTTGTCAGATCGACAACAGAAACTTTAGTTTTCCCCAGGGTAAGTAACTAACGCTGAGATAAGATTATACTGGAAAGTTTCAGTTTCCAATTTCTTGACTCACCATTTCATGCANTTTTTCAAACGTTGCAACATGTCGTTTCATTGAACATGCAAAAACACATCCTACATTTTTCATGTTTAGCCACCTAAAACCGCAGGTCAACACAAACTAAAATTCTCTCTGAACACCCTTTGAACATTTATGTTTTATACTAAAATTACTGGAATCCTCCCTCAGAAGGCAAGACTCAGGTTCCAACATGATAAACAGGCTTCAAGTTGACAGTATGGTTTCTTTTTACATTTTATTCTTTCAAAGTTGCATCTGAGAGCTAATTATCATCCCCAGCTGCAGACCCTTGCTACAAGATATGCAAGGACCTGCCCTACACTGCTGAATCTCTCCAATTAATAGCTATTGCAACACAGACTAACATCTTACACACACAACTACTTTTAATTGCAACATAAAAGTATACAGATACTGAGGTTTTTATATTTATTTAAATTCAATTTTCTATTAGTTGTACAATTCGCAGACTGGACTACTCAAGCACATCTCCGAGCTGAACACAGCTGCATGACCAGGAGAGCAAACATACTTATGCAATCAGAATTTGCCCTACATTTATGCAGGCAGATTGTTCCACATTATACCAACGTAACGATGCCTTTGTGCTAATCTTTTTTCCAGAGATACTTGCTAATTTCACAGAAATGGCCTGTTTTAAATCAAGGATCCATGGTTGTTTGAAGCACATGCCTGCAATAAAAGTTTTTAACTGACATTTTTAGGGATTAACCCAATATAAACAAAGGTGCAGCTCTTAGGGATTTATTTATTTAAATTAATCTTTAACAGTTGTGCACAGAAACGTTTTGCATAACAGTATGCTTTTAAACAGTAAGATAATCACTCTGTAAATGCTTTCCTTCTGAAGGTTATTTTAACTATGCAATACCACAATCTGGGTGGAACACATTTTTTAACAGATAATGTGTGAAAAACAATGTACCCAATACAATTTTAGGATTCTTTGGAAGTGACAGCTTTATTATGAGTACATTTATTTGAAACACAGCACAGAAGTGTTAGGCTTTTGGACGTTTAAATAATAAAAGGAATATTCAAAAATTAAATACTGAATTGTTAAAAAAAATTAAAAACCTACCTCCCAACTTTTTGGAATTGGGGCACTAAAGAAGTCATCAATCACCTCCAGTTCATCCTTGTTAACAACTACAAAGCCATGGTCTTTTGCATCTTTTCCATATAAGTCTGGTGACCACTGAACAAAGAATGCATACAGGTGATCTACCCTGGAATTTGGGAAGGAAACGTTAGCCAAGGCAGAGGTATAGACTTGGTGAAAACATTGAGAGGAAATAGAAATTTATTTAGTTTCTCGTCTTTTATTTTACCAACTGTTTCAAGTATTCTCCATATGAGACTACCGTGTTTCAATGTGCAAAGCTATTTGTAATAGTCTCATCTACTGTACTCATGTACGCGGTCAAAATTGACAGTATGGTTTCACTATTTTGAACTTAAAATTTACATTCTTTTACAGTACAGTGAAATAGCAGAAATTAAAGATATACTTATTAATAGACATTTTATGGATTCTGTTATAGATTAAAACAATATCAACTCAATGAATATAAATTATTACATTGTTTTGAATATAAAGCAACCTCAATTATAGTTCGACACCTTCCCCACCCCTCCCTACCTCATTTTCATGGATATATTTGGGAGCAAAAAGTGCAATACAGCATTATATCAAATGCAAGGATTATTATATAGTAGTCAAAAAGAACATTTTGTATAATTTGACAAAATAGAGTTCTGTATTCTGCATGATAGTCTCTCTCTCTCTCTTCCTCAGAGTCTCTTCCCCCTCCCTGATAGTCTCTCTCTTTCCTCTCTAAGACTCACATCCTCTTACCTCCTCCCACCTGACTCTCTCACTCCCTACTCGCTCTCTAAAACCTACTTCTCTCCAATTCTCATGTGTGTGAGCAAACAGAATAGCCACACGCTTAAACTCCCATTTTATACATTTCTGTGCTATCCTACACTACATGCATAATTTGATTGAAAAGTTTAATCCCAGTAAGGGTGGATGAAGATAGAAGGAAGAAGACAAATAGCCAAGGAAGACAGTGTCCAATTAACATTTTCATGTCTTGGATAATCACTCTGTCATATACAAGGTGTTAATCCACATCCTTAGTTTTGTTTACACCCCCAATCATCAGTGACAAGTCCTGTGAAGTCTCTCATATAAAATAAGTAATCATATTTATCAGCCGTTGGTTTCATTCACATTACATTATCTGCTACGGTCTTAGGACAGTTCTGTAGATTACATTTTTAGTTGACCTGTAAAACTTGGCATTTTTTAAATATTTATCTATCAACATTCAGGCCCACCCACTGATCATTTCACCTCAGGGCCAATCCACCAAGAAACACGTTCATTGGACGTTTCCAGTTAACCACTTGTCACTAGTAAAGATGCCCCTGGAATTGGGAGACATTGGGAGAGATCCTCACCCTTGTCTTCAAATCCCTCCACTCCTCTGCACCTCCCTACCTCTCTGACCTCCTCTCTCCTCAAAACAGTGCCCATTGCCTTCGTTCTTCCAGGTCTGGCCTCCTCCTTGTCCCCCGAGTCCTCCGCTCCACCCTTGGTGGCCGTGCCTTCAGCCATTATGTCCCGAGGCTCTGGAACTCCCTTCCTCACTCCCTTCGCCTCGACCCCTCTCTTCCTATTTTCAGGTCTCTGCTGAAGACCTTTCTTTTCGACCGTGCCTTTGGTCACCTTCCTCCCCCTCCCCCTGGCTCGGCCCCGGGATCCATTACTGTAAAGCGCTCTGAGACGCCATCCGGCATGGAGGGCGCTATATAAATCCATGTTGTTGTTGTAAAGTCCACTAGGGGACAGCATCTAACACTGAACAAATTAAAACTTGGTTAAATGCAAACATAATGGGAGACCACTTGAAATACACCTACAGTTCACAATCTGTTCCTACTTACATTTACTCGAGGAAGGTAAATGATGCACAAACCAGGCACCTTTTGAAAAAAGTGCAAAAAACACTATTTACTAGAACCATGGAAAAGCTTCCATCGCATCAGAAAACAGTTTTATGTGAATTTCATCTAAGATCAGAAGTTCGGTGTCCCTCAAGGTGATATAATCAATGGTTCTGGCAACCACAAAGCTTACCAATATAAAGTACTGGAAAGTTTCATAGCATTCAAAAAGAGAAGGGAGTTTCCCCCAATGTCCTGGCCAAAATCCCCAATACAATTAGTCATTGTTAAAGGTGGGGGGAAAGCTGAACAGGTTAAGAGCACAGGTGGGGAGTTTAACCGACAGTTAATGATGTCGGTTAATGATGTCGATCACTGCATGATGCATGTTGCTGTGCTGCATTCACCCACAAAACAGTCACTCCACTTTATAGTAAAATCTTGTGAAATGTCTTGAGTCATCTTCCCAACATGAAAGGTTCTATACCAGATGTAAGGATTACTATTTCTTATTATATATCCAGCTGAGGTTGGTCTATCAGCCCCAAATGCAACCAACTCAGGAGTCATTGTTAACAGATTTCTATTTCAGACTACACAGAACATATTCTAGTTTCCAAAATCATGGCCTCTTCGGCTCTGTCAAGTACGTAGATCTTGTTTTCACACTTGTATATCTCTCCTACGTGCTAATTACTTAAACCAGCTTGGGTTCCTGCTCAGTCTTTGTAAAGTGCTTGATGACCTTCTCCCACCATGAAAGGCACTATATAAATGTAAGCTTTGTGTTGCCTGAACATCTCTAATTTAGGAGGTCAGTTTCCCACCAAACGTAGAGTTCCAATTCAAGCTACTATTGCATTTCAAAATAAGCAATGGTGTTTCTGTAGATATTTTGTAATATAGATGCAGGTGTAGATTATATGCAAGCAAGTGCAAAACACAATTTGAGTTTCAATCACCTGTAGTCACACAGCATTTATCAGACCTTACGATGAGCATAGAGACGCTGTCTGCACTAACTATTCAGGAAGAATAAATTTGTTCAGCAGTTGAATCCATCCATTGCGTGGATGAATTCAACTGCTGAACAAATACTTCTGTCAAATAGAAAAGAGCAGCAATGCAAATATCCAAACTAAAAATAGGAACTTAAACATCCAATAAATTTCAAACTTATACATCCTGCTTTGGGAAGAGAATAATTTAAATACTATACTTACTCTCTAACACTGTAACCAAGGCCCATTTTTGCAGCAGGAGAAAGGACAGTTGAATGTGGAAAAGCTGCAGCTTTGGTGTTATCAAGTTGAGTGCACGATGTACACTGAACTGTAGCTGGGTTCACAGTCTAATTTAATCAGTTAAACCATTTACTTAACAATTGAATCTTTGCCAACAGTAAAATAATCGTATTTCACAAGGGATTTGCGTGCCTTTTCCGAAGTTGCTTATTAATCCCAATTGTCTGCCAATATTCAGAATGATTGCACAACCGATAACTTTGTAAACTGGTCAGATTTCGAGCTCACACTTGGTACAGTTCACACTTTAGGTCACGTACAGCTTGCTTGAAATTTCATGACAGAACCAACAATTTCCATAACTTCTATCAACTATATGCAAACTTACTCATTAGTAGATTTTGTTAATTATTATTTAACTTTGTTACCAGCTAAGAAAAGACTGGCTACAGGAGAATTCTACGCAGGTCTAGACTTCATGGTTGTCTCCATCTGTGACCAGGTCTCTCTCTGCCTACTCATCCGTCTTGACCTCTTTGCTGCCTTCGACAATGCCGACCATTCTACCCTTCTCCACCGCCTTTCCTCTGAACTCCACCTTCACGATTCTGTCCTTCCCTAGTTTCAATCTTACTTATCTCAACATCCCCACTTCGGATCTGCCAATGCCTTCTCCTCCTGTCCCACACTTGTATAGCTCTCCTACAAACCAGCTCCGGTCCCCACTCAGTCTTTGTAAAATGCTTTGTGACCTTCTCCCAAACTGAAAGGCACTATATAAATGTAAACTTTGTGTTGCCTGACAGTCTAATTTAGGAGGTTATTTTCCCACATGCAGTGTTCCTCAGGATCTAAACTCGGACCTCTCCTCTTACATATCTACATACTCCCACTCTGCAATGTCATCCATAGGCGTGGGATTAACTTCCACATGTATGTGGATGACACCCAACTTTACCTGTTGCCTCCACCCTTGATTTCAGGACCAATTGCCTGTCAGACATCAAATCCTGGATGAGAGCTAACTTTCTACAATTGAACGTCAACAAGACCAAAGCCCACCTGATTGACTGCCATCAGCACCTCCACACCTCAGGCACTGACAGTATTAACCTACACAGATGCACACTCCACCTCACCGAACCAGTGCAGAACCTCGGTGTCTTGCTTGAATACTAACTGTCGGTTAAACTCCCCACCTGTGCTCTTAACCTGTTCAGCTTTCCCCCCACCTTTAACATTGCACGCCTCCGCCACTATCTCTTTCCTTCACCTCTCCCAAATCTAATACCCTGCTCGGGTGCAAACCCTAGAATATCCAGTGGCTTAGAACATCCTCCTGATATGAAAGGCACTAAAATACAATTTGTTGTTGTTTGTGGGTCATTGCTGTGCTCAAATTGGATGTCGCACTTGCCTTCAAATACTACGCTTCACAGTAAAATCCTGTCAAGCACTTTGGGGCATCTTGATGATGTGATTACACAACATCAAATGCAAGATTATTCTTATTATTAAAAATAATAGTGATAATTCATATAACTGTAGTCTAATAATCTAGTTAATTTTACAATGCAATTCATCCAAATGACTAGAAAAAACAATACTATAGATTAACATTCCTCTGATAAAATGACACAGACATTCCCTTTTGTCTCTGAGAAGAAAGCAGAGTTCAAATGCGGAGCAAATCAGGATTTATTGATGTTTTTTCTGTCGCTATCTAAAAGTAGCAATTATTCAAATTTTCTTAACCATCACTGAGCAGGAGACTAACATTCCCTGGGCACTGCTGCATACCTGACGGATCAGCGCTTTCCAGAGTCAGGTAGGTCCAGATAAGGCCATGCTAATCTGAAACACTGGCCCCTATGAAGCAAATGGAATGTATGTACTGCTTCCCTGTGTGATATTACCTGAGTAGCCCAGGACTACACGGATCTGAAATGGCAGTTGTTTATAAACCTTGAACTCAGACTAGTCATATTTTCACATGGAGCTGTGCACATACTTCAGAAAAAATAATCCCTTTAGTTTGGAACAGAAAGTAACCAGATGTAGTGACATATAGGAGATGAAATGTCAGAATACGTATAAACAAATGTGGGGGGAAGAGAAGGCCCTTTGGTCTATTTTAAAGTATTGCTACTTTCTCGATTCCATTTATAATCTTATATACCTCTAGAAGGTACCCTTCTATGCCTCTATGCATGAACTATGCTAGTTCCTCCAAAATTGCGATCATCCTGTTGATCTCTGTGCGCTGTCTCTAGGGTCTGAGTAATTCTCCTAATTGGTAGCAAGCAGAACTATACCAGTACTCCAGATGTGGCTTAACCAGAGCACCGTACAGTTTGATAATGACTTCTGGGGATCTGAACTCAACAGACTTGGCAATGTAGCTCAGCATCCTTTATACCTTATTTATTGTTGCCTCATCTATGGAGTATGTGTACCCCTGGACAACTTCCAGTATGTAGTACCATGCATTACTTGTATTGAAATTAATTTATAATAATAATAATCCTTGCATTTGATATAGCGCTTTTCACATCTTCTCGACGTCTCAAAGCGCTTCACAGAATATGCTGTAAAGTGAATTGACTGTATATTTGTGGGCGAAACGCGGCAGCCAATTGCGCACAGCAGTGTCCCACAAACAGTGGTGGATTGAAAATGACCAATTTATTATTGTTTTATTTTTGGAGGGATTATTATTAGGCGTGTGGAGTAAGGAAACTTGCCGAAGATTTCGCCCTGCCTGGAATTGAACCCAGGTGTCTCGCTTGCAAGGCGAGTGCTCTAACCACTGAGCTACAGGACTCCACAATTTAGCAGTCATTGGCCTATCACGCTCACTTTGTAAGACCTCTGCTGCCTCTTTTGATTCTATAATTCTCCCCCACCTTGGTGCCATCGGCAAACTTAACTACCTTGATGTAGTTAGGAGGGGTCCTAGTACAGAGCCTTGAGGTACCCCACTTAATGTCTCCCTCCATTTTGCCTTAGCACTCCTAACAACTACTCACTTCTTTGTTCTCTTCAGTCAATTTTGAATTAATGTCTAAGTCTTACCCTTGATATCCATGGAGCTCAGTTTGTGAAAGAGTCTCTCATGTGGGTACTTTGAGAGTTTAGATACACTATATCATATTGCTTTCCAATCATTTTAGTATATCATGTCTTCAAAATGTCTATCAGGTTGGTAAGACAAGATAGCCATTATTAAGATCATTTTTATACATGGAATGTAATCTTCCATTTTCTTTCTGATGACTAACTCCATTAATTTTCCAATTACTGAGGCTAAGCTAAAGGGTTACCAGGTATGGTTTTGTCATCTATCTTGAATATAGGAACGGATATATAAATTGTTCCTCCATTGGAAAGATATGAAGATATTTAAGAAGTATGTAAGGAGAACAGGAAGTTAAAAGAGGTAGACAAATCAGGATAGGGTGCAGCCATGGAAACACTGTGGATTGAAGTAAACAATATTAAAGCGAATTAACTTGCTGTTGGAACTTGCTACATGCCTCAGGTTAAAAAAGGCATTAGACCAGAAACTTTATTCTTAAATGAGGGAAGAGGATGGGTTCAATTTATCATAGAAACATTGGGAGATGTTTACAATGGAAGGAAAAGGGAGTAAACATGCATTTTTGGATGTGACACTAGACAACTACAGAACCCAAAGTAAACTCCAAGAAAAGAATCTCATTTTCTATAATAATCAGGGATGGTATAACAGCTTGCATCAAGAGAGCACTTTGAAATTAGTAATTATAATATGATTTAAGTTCACAGTAAGGCTTACAATTGAGAAGAGTTTGGCATTCTCAACTTCGGGAAGATAGATCTTGAGGGAATGAAGAGACAGCAAAGAAAGTAGACTGGATCAAACTGTTAGATGAAAGAAAATCAAAAGATCAAAAGAAAAATGTAATTCTTATTGAGAATGCAAGTCAAGCATATACAACAAGAAAATAAATGTGGGAAATAATAACAACAACAATCCTTGCATGTATTACTTTGAAGTGCAGTGACTGAATCTTGAAAATGGCAGCCCATTTGTGCACAGCAAGTCCCACAGCCATGGAACAAATGACCAATTTTATTTCGGGGGGAATGTTAGCCAGCAACAATAACAACAATAAAATTACATTTGTATAGCGTTTTTCACAGCAGGAGGACGTACTAAGGCGTTGGACAATCAGTATTTCAGACCGGAGCTGGGGGTCGGGATCGGTGAGGCTGGAGGGCGGGATGGGGAGGAGGGTGATCGAAGGCTTGGTTGAAGAGGGTCTTGAGACGGGTCTTGAACAAGTCAAGGGAGGAGGCGAGGAGGATGGACTGCAGGATGGAGTCCCAGAGGGTGGGATAGAGTGTCTGAAAGCCCGTCCGCCTATGGTGGGGCAGGCGGGGGACGTGAAGCAGGCTAGAGCCCGCTGAGCGGACGGAGCGGGCAGGTTGGTAGGGGGTTAGGAAGTCGCAGTGGACCCTCCCTGGATCCATCCCTGCTCTCAAACTACCGCCCCATTTCCAACCTCCCTTTCCAAGGTTCTCCTCCGCCTCTCATCTTCATTGATTCTGTCCTTGAATGGTTCAGATCCTACCTCTTACACTCTTCCCTGACAGAGTCAGAGCCTGAGGACAAGGTCATGAGGGCTTTGAAGGTGAGGACCAGGATCTTGAATTGTATCCTCTGTGTGTTGGGAAGCCAGTGGAGTCAGGAGAGTATGGGGGTGATAGGGTCACGGAGCCTGGTGCAGGAGAGGACACGGGCTGGATGATCTGCAGCCTATGGAGGGAGGAGTTGGGGAGGCCGACAAGCAAAGAGTTTGCATAGTCGAGCCTGAATGTTATGAATGCGTATATGAAACAGTGACACATGAGACAGTGGGGGAGCCGGGCGATGTTGTGGAGGTGGGGGAAGGCAGAGCGGGTCATGGCATAGATGTGGGGTAGAAAGGATAGTTGAGGGTCAAACAAGATGCCAAGATTCTGGACTGGCTTAGTACGGTGCAGTGTGCATCCATGGATGTGATGCTGTCAGGGCCTGAGGTGTGGAGGCGCTGACGGGAACCAATCAGGAGAGCTTTGGTTTTGTTGACATTCAACTGAAGAAAGTTAGCTCTCATCCAGGACTTGATATCTGATAGACATTCTGTCAGGACAGCAGTGGTCCTGGAGTCGAGGGTGGAGGCAGAGAGGTAGAGTTGAGTGTCATCCACATACATGTCTGCGGATGACATCACCAAGAGGGAGCATATAGATATTGAAGAGGAGGAGACCAAGGACAGAGCCCTCAGGAACGCCGCACAAGACGGTGTGGGGGCTAGAAGAGAAAACGTTTGTGGAGATGAAGTGGAGACGGTGTGTGAGATAGGATCTGAACCATTCAAGGACAGAACCATGAAGGTCGAGGTGAGAGGAGAGGTGGTAGAGGACCTTGGAAAGGAAAGGGAGTTTTTTTTAAGGATAGGAGTGATGACAACCATTTTTAAAGGGGTGGGAACGGTGCCAGTGGACAGGGAGAGGTTTGTCTGTGAGTAGAGCGGCAAGGAGGTGGAGATGGGAGGTAGTGAGAGGGATAGGGATGGGGTCGAGGGAGCAGGTGGGTTATAGTGGTGCTGAAGAGGGGGAGACAACTTTGAAGGTGAGGAGGGACGGATGAGTTGGGGCCGGAGTGTGAGGGGGAGATGGGGAATGGGTGGTAGACAGAAGGGTAGAGGCAGCTGAGCGGATCCCTCGACTTCGGTTTCAAGGAACAACAACAAAATTACATTTATAGAGCACCTTTCACGTTGGGAGGACGTCCCAAAGTGCTGAACAGTCAGATGTCGGGGCCCAAGCATGGGGGAGGGGTAGGAGTGAGGGAAGGCAGAGGGGTGGGAGAGAGACCAAGGGCATGGTCGAAGAGAAGGGTCTTGAGACCGGCCTTGAAGGAGGCAAGGGAGGAAGCGAGGCGAAGGGACCATGGGATGGAGTTCCAGAGTGTGGGGGCAGAGAGGCTGAAAGCCTGGCCACCAATGGTAAGGGGGGTCGGGCGGGAGACATGGAGCAGGCCGGAGTCTGATGAACGGAGGGAGCGGGCAGGTTGGTAGGGAGTCAGCAGGTCAGAGAGATAGGAGGGGGCAAGGCCATGGATGGCCTTAAAGGTGAGGACAAGGATCTTGAACTCGATCCTCTGGGGGATGGAGAGCCAGTGGAGTCGGGCGAGGGTCGGCGTGATGGCATCATGGAGCCTGGTGCATGAGAGTACACAAGCTGCAGAGTTTTGGATGATCTGTAGCTTGTGAAGGGAAGAGTTGGGAAGGCCGATGAGGAGGGAGTTCCCATAATCAAGCCTTGAGGTGACAAATGCATGGGTGAGGGTTTCGGCAGCCTGAGGGGTGAGGCAGTGGCAGAGTCGGTCAATGGCAAAGGAAATCTAGCATTGCCTCGCAGTTGGCTTTGGAGGAGAGAACAGCAACAAGGGTCATATGCAGAGAACAAGGACAAAAAGGGTCATATATAGAGAACAAAGACAAAAATGTGAGCTTTTCTCAAAAATAAGGCTCCTGGTAGAACAGCAGTCATTGGAGTAAAAAACTTAAGTAAAGTAAGCTAAGAGACTGGTCAAATAAGTATGAAATAATAATAATCCTAAAATGTGGTATAGTGCCCTTGACATCGGAAGGATGCCTCAAAGCACTTCACAGGTATACAGTAAAGTTAAGTGACTACACTTTTTGTGGGGAAAAACAGCAGCAATGTCTCACAAACAGCTATAAAATGAGTAACCAACTTAATTTAGGGGATTGTTGGCCAGGACACCAGGAGAAACTCTCACCTCCTTTCAAATAGTGTCATGGGATCATTAAAGTCTACCTGAACAGGCAGTTTAAGAAGGATGATATGAGATTAAGATTAAAAATATATGTATGTAGAAAACAGGGTTGTTCAATAAACAGTAGGTCTTTGAAAGTTCTCAAAGGGAAAATAACTTCAAATGGCTAAGCAATAGCAGATTTCCTAAATTATTTTTTGTGTTTGTACTCAAGCGGAAAACACAATTCACTTTCCCAGAGACAAGCCTTCGGGGACAGATGAGGAAATTGTAATAGACATTCTTACATGACTCAAATTAGGCATCTGCGTTATGAGAGGCTATAGAAGATGAACATTAAAGTGAAGTACTTTTTCTTTACACTGTAACCATTTTAAAATAAGACTAATTGAATACATAGAACACTGGAAGGCTGCTATTCTTTCAGACTGCTACACTGAGACACATTCCACTCTGAATTATAGCTGCAGGCACAATTTTACAGTAAAATTAAAACAGCTCAACTCAAATGAAACTAAATTTCAGTTATACTTAAATCATTGCCAGGGACAGAGTAAGAGTATCTCACATAGATACTAATAATCTTAAACTGTGGTATAGAATCCTTGACATCGGAAGGATGCCTGAAAGCACTTCACAGATATACAGTAAATTTAAATGAACCTGTACTTTTCTGTGGGTAAAACAGCAGCCAATTTGCACACAGCAATGTCCCACAAACAGCTATAATGTGAGTAATCAACTTCATTTGGAGGATTGTTGGCCAGGACACCAGGAGAAACTCACCTCTTTTCAACTTTTAAGAGAGGAGTAGATAATTATTTGGAGAGGACAAATTTGCAGGGTATGGGGAGAGAACGGGGGAGTGGGATTGAATTGGATAGCTCTTTTCAAAGCAACACTGACACGATCAGCCGAATGGCCTCCTTCTGTGCTGTATAATTCTATAATTCTATTATACTACGTGGCCCCCTGAAATTGCTTATTGATTCAAGTTCTCTGCCAAAAATCTAAAATGACCCTTGGAACAACTTCACGATAATTTTGATTTCAACATGTATTTGGGAGTATGCAGTTCAAGCAAATAAGCTAGAGTACGTATCATTGAATGGAAAGGATGATTCCAAAATCTTCGCTTAGTTTAAAAAAATGTTTTTGACAAACTGTAAAACAAAGCATTCATTCTACTTCTTAATATAGAAAACGCAGAGCAAGACACATTTCTGCACTCGACACAAATGCAGAAATATTCTACGACAATTTGAGTTCTTCATACATAAACAAATGGATTTTTTTAAAAATCCTACAATTTCCTTCAATCTCCTCTCCCTTTACATTTGTCTCCCTACCTTTTAAAAATTCCTCAGGTATTGAGCTTATATCATTATCTGCCTGACCTGTCTCCAACCGATCTCACCTCCCTGTCAATCTTGTGTGCTCATTCTCTTGCATCTTAAATATCACTGGTTTACCTACTCAAAACAGTTGGGTGAATAATAGACAGTGACGCACATAGAAACCATTAGTATCAGATAAGCTAAAAACAGATATCTTCCTACTCTTGTGTGCCCACAGTAAAATGCAGTGACTGAGCATTCATGTTCGTTTTTCTAATGCATGAAAATAGATAGATGTGGCTCCAGACTTATTACTTTAGTTTCAAAAAATGGCCATGGTTTAGGCTGGCTTGAAACAATTTTATTCATGGTGAAAAATTTCCAGTGCTATGAATTCTTTGTTAATATTTGATAGGTAAATCAATCAATGAAGGGAGCTTGGTGTTACTGAGACTATTGACCTAGTTTTCAAGGCTCTAACTCTATGACCACCAATAAACCAGGGGGTAAAAAGCAAACATCAGTTACATTAATACATAAACCATACAGCACCTAATTCCACTGGGTTAGCCTGAAACAATTGAATCTTGAAACATCTTTCAAATAAATTAAGCTAGAAAGAATTATTATTTGCTGGACATCCTCGAGTCTTACCCATTATTAAAAAGTAATTTGTGAAGCAAAATTTCAAAACTCTGTTGCAAAAGTTTCTAGTTCAAATAAAGTTACAATCATTCTGTTAGCAAAATTATCAGGTGCCATAGCTTTAACTCATGAATGCATAAATATGTAGGCGCTCACCTTTCTTGTGGAACTGCAAACCAATATTCTGGCTGCTTTCCTTTCTCTACATATTGTTGCATTCTGGCTGCAGTGTCCCCTGCAAATGACTTTAGCATAGGTTTCCCGACCTTAATGCACATAAACATGGGTGGCTTCTTACTTCTCTCCTTTGCTCGAAGTATGTCTAAACAGATATAGAATAAATTACAAGATCACAAGATTGGTCTGGATGAAGAAAGCTCTTCGGCTCATCCAATCTCATTGCTCCAGAATACCCACTCTACTGTCCCCCCCATCACTACATCAATCAGCTTTTTAATATCCGGGCCTCTACCACCTTTCTGACAACCTGTTACAGACCTCGATTACTCCCTGCAAAAAGAAAAACTTCCAGAAATCTATCCTGAAATTGCCCTTTATTCTAAGTCTATGGCCTAGTGTTCTACTGTCATGACAAATTCAAAAGTATTGATCTGAGTTTACTTTACAATCCCATTTAAAATGTTGCACACCTCTATGAGATCCCCTCTTCTCTTCAGTTGCTTAGATCACTTTAAATGACCTCAATTCTGTTACTTAACCTATTCCAATGGCTTATCCACATTACATGTATTGATAAATCATATCTTTATTATCGCTTACCTAATTTACTCTCGTACTGTAACAAGTGTTTAAAATATTTTCAGCTTACCGTCTATTGGTCCTTTAAGTTTTTTAAAGAAGGCTTCAAATTCGGAATCACAGCCCACTTCCTCATTGACTTCTTCTGTCGTCGACTTCAAGCTCTCTTTGTGGGGTTTGAGATCAGTTGAACAAGCAACTTGCACTGGAGGAACTTCACTCAAATTATTCAAATCACTTTCCAGGTTACTCCCATCGATTTTAACAGATGAAATATTAGCAATGTTACAGGCATTTTCATTTTGCACAGATTTACTATCATCAGATGCAATTTCTATTGTACATTGCTTCTCACAAGAATGAATGTACTTTTTTGGTAATTCTTTTGTTACAGTTTTTTCAGGTATTGTTTGATGAACATCATGGTCATTGTTTTCCTCAAATTCATGTCTCTTAGACTTCAGTGCATCGGATGTACCTATAAGTTCCTCTTCAGAAATTACTGTAGTCGACCCACATTTATAATATCCATGCTTTTCAGGGGCAGATTCAGTTGCATTTGCTTTTAATGGTATATGATGAGCCAGATCTGTAGAGACACTATTAGTGGTAGAAACTGTTGCATTTTTATCTTTAACTGGGGATGGTGCAAGTTCTGTGAAACCTTCATCAGCTGCATCTCCCACATCTTTGTGGTCCGAACAGTTTTCGAAATTATCATCGACTCTCAAATGGCGGTTTTTACTCATTGCTTTGAATCGATTGAATGGATTGAGGTCTTTTTCAGCTGAAAGATCGTCCCAATCCTCAGGCCTGTACAAAGGAGAAAGATCCTTTGGTACATCACTGTTAGGAGAAATGATGTATGCATAATGGGATGTTAAACTGAAAGCAAAAACAAATGAACACAGACAACACAAAAGGCAAACAAAATTAAAAATCTTGAAATGAAAGCAAATAGTTGAAAGAAAAACTGAAAATCATAATGTGAATTAAAATGCAATATAAGGCAAGAAATGATCACTAAAATCAGTTAATTATTAAAATCAAAACTGGTTTGTATGAATGAAATATTATTACTAAAATATTATTAATAATATTATTAATAAAATATTATTAAATCTTTAAAACTACAACATAGCTAAGAAATTCAGAATGAGCTCTATTTGTATACTAATTAAAACATGGTTACTTTATAGATGAAGGTACTAAACCAAGATTGCAAATGTAATGTGCAAATATATTTTTAAAATGTATTAATTTTCAATGAGCCAAAAGATCACATCTATCCTGCAAATTGAGCAATACAAGGAAAAGATATTCTGGATATCTCCAGGTCAGGCTAGCAATTCAGTGACCTGGATATCAAAGCTCTATGATAGACTGTGTAATTTAATATCTAACCAGCCAAGTCTACAGAACTTCAAGACATTAATGATTGACCAATCGACCAGGCTCATTTATAGTACATTGAATGGTAGTCATAACTTGGGGGATGGCAATTTTTCCCCATTAGTTCCTGAAATCCTGCAAGACAACACCCTAAGAGCTAAGGTCAAGAACAAACTTGCATTTATATATTGAAACATCTCATATTGAAACATCTCAAAGCCAGTAAATTAACAAGTAATTAACAAGTGTACTGACTGTTTTTGTAATCAGATGCAACAACCATTCACACCAACAAAATCCAACAAACACCCACAAGGCAAATAATCAATTAGTAATCTTTAGGGTAAATGATGCAGTACATATAGTAAATTAACCTAGAGAACCGTTGGCCAGTTGACACTAAGAAACGCCCTACTTCTTTCTGAATAGTGTCATGGGATCTATAAAGTCCATCAGAATAGACTGCCAGTACCCGATTTAATAACTCATTAAAAGATGACACCTCCAACAAATAGAATTTCTTCAGGACTGTGTTGAATTGTCTACTTAGATTGTGAACTCAAGTCTTGACATGGGCTTGGCAATCACAACCTTCTAATGAAGAAACAATAATGCTGTCAAGCAAACAGAAGTTTATCCTATGGATCCCTGTAGATTAGTGTGTTAGAGCACTCGCCACACAAGCGAGAGGACCTGGCTTTAATTTCCAGCAGGGCGAAACGTTAGGAAAGTTTCATTACTCCATTACTCGCCTCTGTTTACATAGTAGTAAGTAGGAACCTGGTTGTTTACAGTATATTCTGTGAAGCACTTTGTATATCCTCGAAGGCATGATAAGGTGCTATATCAAGTGTAAAGATTATTATTATCAATGCTTTATAATCCTTCAGGTCCAGCTATGTTCTAATGTGGACTTCAGATCCCTAATTCCCTGGCATCAGTATTCTAGACAACCAAGAGGCATACAATCCTTCATCGAAGTCTTGGGCATTAAAAATACATATCAGTTGCTGATTGTCACTAAATGCTGAAATCAATAATCAATATAACCAGAGGGAACCATATTGTAGTGGAAATGCTACTATTAAATAGCCTTTAGGAAATAAAGAGGTTATTGTAAAATATATTAAAACAAGTTTATAGCAGTACATGTTTTAAAAGAGCAGATTTACTTACGATGGAAGTGCATCTTTAATTTTCATGTGGGAGATATCATTGTATAATGCAATGGATATGATCTCCTCCATGGGGCATAGGAGCCCATATTCTTCACAACCATTCTCTATTACGAGAGGATCAGACTTGTGTGGGTCAAACATTATATTGTTTGGAGTGACAATCATAACTCCTCCTACTACACCCTGAGAATAAAAGGAAAATTATGTGCAATGACATTAGATCAATGTACAGAAATTAGAAAATGGTAAATCGTAATTTAAACTTATAAGCAATGTAATACATTCCACAATGTATTACAAACTATGAGTGAAATTAATGCACAATGTTTTTCTAATCTGCAGTTAGTTTTGGGGAACATAATAATGCCCCAGAACTATGACAAGAGCAGATGTCTCTGAAAAAAATCCCCCAGCNAAAAAAAAGTAGATGTTCGATCTTGCCTCTCACCTTTCAAGCCAATCAAAATCATAATAATAGTTTTAATAATTCTTGCATTTGATGTAGTATCTATAATGTCATTATGTCTCAAAGTGATTCACAGATAATTGATGTCTATAATGACTGTGTATTTGTGGGCATTAAGCAACAGCTAATTTCTGCACAGTCATGAAGTGAATAACCAATCTTTATCCAGAGGATTGTTGGGTAAGACACTGGGAGAAACTTTTTTTTTGAATAATATGAAGTAAAGAATCTCAAGATGCTGATAATTATTTTCTAATTTCTTATTTATACCTGTGATCTCTAATGCTGCTCTCATTGTTAAATAAACTGCTTACACCTCATCTCAACTTTCTGCAATCATAATTCTTTAAAATGAACAATATGATGACCCAGAATCAACCAACGATTTGGGTACATTTGACATTTCCTCAGTGGCAAATCTGTAGTCAGTGAATGCATTAAACTGGTAATTATGAAGCTATGAAAAGCTTTCAGTTCAGAAACCTAACTGCCTAAGTAACTGTTAAGTGGAGTCAATGGGATTGCTTAAGAGGGAGGTAGATGAATACTTGGCTAGTAAGGGTAACAGGAAGTACAGAGAAAAGGCAAGTAAAAAGTATTGAGTTAAAGATCAGTCATGGTCTAAGAAAATGACAGAGCTGGCTCGATGGGCCATATGGCTTGCTTCTGCTCCTATGTTCCTAATTAGTCAACTTTGTAAAATACAAGGTGGGATACATGACGTCAAGATCATTCTCTTCAACCGTGCCTTCACCTCCCCTCTCGACTCTCTACCCCCTCCTCGCTCCCTCCCTTCCCTCCCCTCACCCTGACCATTTCCCCCCTGCTCGGGTCCCAACCCAACTGTCCAGCGCCTTGGGACGTCCTCCCGACGTGAAAGGCGCTCAATAAATGGAATCTTGTTGTTGTTGTTAAATTCAATAGTTTGGTCACTCAATCCATGGCCGTTTAAAATTATTTTAAAAGCAACCAAATCCTGAGCTAGTACTCATGCAGCATGTGGTGGAAATTGGAACAAAGAAGCTTAACCACACTAGTTACCTTGCCATCTGTAATGTATCTGCAGTTCATTTTTAAAAACTTTACGATAGGTGGTTCATCTTCTTCTGAACCAGATGACATTACTCTCAAAATGGGATGTAAACGCAGTGGTGGGGAGTGGAAATTTTTCTCAGTTGTTGTTCTTGCAAGGTCAGCATTCTGAAAGATTGAATTAGTCAATTAACTTTCAGGGAAATCAGTAACTAGAAAGGTTGGCACTCTAAATAGAGCAATTAAAAACTAAAGTTAAACATTTAAGAACCAACTTCTTTTTTTTCTATTTTTCTCTTGAGGTTTTTGAATATACCATAAAACTCATATCAGTCCCATCAGTCAGGACTATAACATTTAATATGACTTACACAAAGTCTGAGTTGCAGGCAAACTGCAGAAGTCATAGGAATTCAGATTTAATCAATAATCTACACTGTGCATGTGTAATTTAATGCAGCAGGTAAGTGCGGGTGTCGAGGTCAACACTATATTTCCATCGATTCAGTGCATCTTGACACATACCGCATATGCACGTACTGGCAAACACTGTAATCGCATTGAATCACAAGTAATGAAGTTCTTCTGCACATGCTTTGACAGATGAAGACTACGTTTCCTGCGACTCAATGCAGCCGGCTGGTAAGTGCGTATGTATCAACAGGTAAGGACTTAATTTCCTGCGATGCAAGCCCTCTGGTAAGCGTAGGGGAGCGGCATTACAAGTTAGGAGTTGAATAATACGAACCTTTTAAAGAAATCTAAGTGGTTTTGATAGGAAATTGAATGAGACTCGTGTGAATGTACGACTTAGGCAGTTATACGATTTATAAAGATAAGATTTATGTGAGTTTTACTGTATTTTATAACAGCTTGCGGACACCAAATTTGTATTGTTTAATCAAACATTTTCATTTTCAACCAATGACACAGAAATTATATTTTTACCACTGACAAGCCATCTGATTTTTTTCTATACTTACTGGAAGCTTATATTTGGCATCAGATGACGATGGTGTAACAGGTCTACCAAAATCTGGAGAACAAATGTCTGGTACATATAAAATCTGAAAAATGTAGAATTTAATTTCAGTAAACTCATAAAATATGTTTTGTTATTCCATAAATAGGTTATTAAATGACAACTGTTTGAAATTCTATAGGTTAAATCAAACACAATAACAACAAAATTACATTTGTATAGCGCCTTTCAAGTCGAGAGAATGTCCCAAGGTGCTGGACAGTCAGTGTTTCAGACCTAAGCTGGGGATGGGGATTGGGAGAATGGAGGGCATGGGGGAGAGGAGCAGGGTAATCGAAAGCACAGTCAAAGGAGGGACTTGAGATGGGTCTTGAAGGAGACAAGGGAGGGGGAGAGGCAGAGGGACTGCGGGATAGATTTCCAGAGGGTAGGGCAGAGTGGCAGGCCTGCCTGCCAATGATGGATGGGCGAGGTGGGGGACATGAAGCAGGCCGGAGCCCACTGAGAGGAGCGAGCGGGCAGGATGGTAGAGGGTTTGGAGGTCGCAGAGGTAGAGGGGAGCAAGGCCATAGAGGGCTTTGAAGGTGAGGACCAGGATCTTGAACTGTATCCTCTGTGTGATGGAAGGCCAGTGGTGTCGGGTGAGGATGGGGGTGCTAGGGTCATGGAGCCTGGTGCGGGAGAGGACACAGGCTGCAGAGTTCTGGGTGATCTGCAGCCTATGTGGAGGAAGGAGTTGGGGAGGCCGACAAGCAGGGAGTTTGCATAGTCAAGCCTGGATGTTATGAATGCGTGTATGAGGGTTTCGGCGACCTGCGATGTGAGACAATGTTGGGGGAAAGCAAAGCGGGTCATGGCAGGGATGTGGGGTAGAAAGAATAGTTGAGGGTCAAACAACACGCCAAGGTTCCGGACTGGCTTAGTAAGGTGAAGTGTGCATCCATGGATGGTGATCCTGTCAGTGCCTGAGGTATGGAGGCCTCAATCTTGTTTGACGACATACCTGGCCAGGAATAACAGTGCAACTGAAAAGTTTATTGTTGTACACAATTTCAGTTGGAGTAGTGTTGAAATTCAAAGCTATGTTAGTAATCGTATCTCGATAGTCCACCTACAATATAAAAACAAAATACTCAATGTATTTATTATCCTTCCTTTCATAGTTATTATACTTCCTTCAGATACTGCATTTCTAGCACTGCCTCATTGATTAATATGATCCAATCATACTGTCAGACTAAAGACCAAGTTATGCATAACTCTTGAGAAATGGTACACTTCACAAATTGTTTTACGTGAATATATATATATATATATATAATATATACCTCGTACTCAAGGGCTCCAAGTAGTTTCCCAGATGTTGCTTTCTTTTCTTTGTCATGATTGGCAACTTTAAAACAAAGATAATTACATGCAAATTTCTCAAATTTTATTACGAAACCTGGTTAGGGGCTAGAGCTCACCAAACACAATAGCAGACATGGAGAGTAGAAAAAAAGATTAAGATAAAATCTGATGCTAAATTTAGATTTTCAAAGCCTTTAGTTTACAGGAGAAAGCAGGTGTTCCTTAGTCTTTAGATTATGGAAAAGAATGAATTAGAGTAGAAGACAGCCTGTTGTGTTTTAATTTAAACACAATAAGGTTCTAGGGCCTGTAGAAAGCTTTTTTTGGAGTTTAGGAAAAACATGAAAGTTAGAGGTAAAAATCTTGTCTCAAGGCAACAATACCACAGAGAAGGCGAGAGACAACATAATAGGCGATGTTCCTGAGGTAGAAGAAGACCATCTAGGGCCAGTTGCAAGGTTTGAAGCAGAACTGACAGTCAAACACAGGAGCAAGGTTGTACATTGACTGGTTGTTGGGAGTAATGATGAAGGATTCCTGAGCATGTTAATCCAACCTCTTGCTTCCTACGTCAAAACATTGTGAGGCAGCAATAAATAAGGCAAAGGGAATGCTGGACTGTATTGCCAAATCAATTAAGTTTAGGTTCCCAAAATTTATATAGTGCTGTGGTCAGGTTGCACGTAGATACAGTTCTTGCAACACAAAGGGCTGGCCAGCCCCTAGAGGCAGGGCGCCAGAGCAATGAGGTGATCCATCCCCAGGTAAGTGTTATAATAATATAATAAATAATCCTTGTATTTGATAGAGCGCCTTATCACATCTTCTAGAAGTCTCAAAGCACTTTGCAGAATATACTGTAAAGTGAATCGACTGTATATTTTGTGGACCAGTGTTAACTTTTTAAAAAAGTGTGAAGAGGGAATGAGTTGCAAGAAATGATTAAGGGGTTCCGGCTCTTCAGCCTTGAAATCTTAGAGGGGACTTTATAGGAATAGCTAAAAATTTGAATGGGATTGAGAAAGTAAGTCCAGAAAAAATATTTTCAAATACACCAAAGCCGCTGAACAAGAGGGTTAAATTTAAGTTTGCACAGGAAAATGTCAGTATTGGTACCAGCAAGTTTTTTTCAAAACTTAAGAAAGCAATTAATAACAGGAGGTCAGGATGCTGGACTATTTACCCAATATTTATGATAACCATAACCTAAAAATATGCATTTTCCCCTCCTTCAGAATCTAGCCTCGACTGTGAATGACTTGACATTCATTAATCCACCTACACTGCCCAGATTTACGTAAACAATATTGAATTCAGAGGACTGGAGCCTAACCATGAACTAATAAAGGTTAACAAAACTTCTAGTTACAAATAGAACTATGAGCTAAGTCCTATTCGTTATCAGCAAAACAAAATCAGCTCAACGGTCCAACTCCTTTTATACATACAGAATATTCGTGTCTTATTTATCTGAAACACAAAATTACATCCATAACGTGATAGAAACATGACCGTACGTACAGTAAGGATTCCACTGGAACATGTTGTTCTCTTTATCGCTCACATTTTCTGCATCTTCGTTTAAGGACTCACCGCTCCCACCAAACGTGGAGTAACCAGAGGAAATGGACTCTTCGCTCTCAGACAGTGATATAGCGCTTTTCACGTCTTCTAGACATCTCAAAGCGCTTCACAGAATATGCTGTAACGTGAATTGACTGTATATTTGTGGGCGAAACACGGGAGCCAATTGCGCACAGCAATGTCCCATAAACAGCCGTGGATTGAAAATGACCAATTTATTATTGATTTTGTTTTTTGGAGGGATTATTATTAGGCATGTGGAGTAAGGAAACTTGCCCAAGGTTTCGCCCTGCCTGGAATTGAACCCAGGTGTCTCACTTGCAAGGCGAGTGCTCTAACCACTGAACTACAGAACATCAGATAAGGATGGATCACAAGACTGGAGCATTATGGATTAATTAACCTTTCAAATCACAAGGCTTCTAACTCCTTTGAGTAATACACATTGCCAGAAAAAGCGGAAGACAGGGGAAGCGTCTCGTCTCACTAACAAATCTGTCCGGCTGCTGGCAAACAAAAGAATCCCCTACCGACAGACCCTTTGCAAAACTTAGCCATAGGTTTGTGTTACAAGAGATGCTGCAGCGATCTAGTTGGATCTGGAAGAAACAGAACCAAGAGAATACGTGCATTGCTTCATGTCCCCTTCCTCGGGAACATTAACGTAACCAGGTGGACCATGTAAACACACAGAACCGGTTCCTCCACCTCTGCCAGATGCAAGCTCAGCCAGCAACTAGTGTAAATCAATGCTGCACATGGACTCGGTAACGCAATCTGCAGAGCTCAACCGCATTCCTTTCCAAATCCCTGCGGATTCATGGATCAGTTCTTCGTCCTACAATAATATTTGGGTACTATAAGGTATTCGCAAATACAAAATGTAATGATAGGGAACTCACCATTCGTAGTTTGGCTTGAAATGCATCGAACAAATAAAATTAAAATACCTACAAAATGCTGGAGTATAATCGAGGGGGATTTTAATGTTCAGAGCTGTATACAGTAGTAGTAAACAATAGAATCCAGTTACTGGAACAGAGCAAATTTGACTCCATGGCAAGTTACAAATAAATTTGCTTCATAGAGATGCCTTCCTTACAAATTGCATGACACCATGAAAGGTGCGAGCTATATCAAACATAAGGATTATTATTATCCATCACAACTAAAGATAGAATATCAAGAAGATGTATTGATCAGCAAGATGCACATTTGAACCAATTGACACCTCTCGACAGGTTCTTGCATTTGATTATAAGTGCCTTATCACATTGCCAAGACATCTCAAAGCACTTCACAGGAATATATTCTACAGTGGCTTGACTGTAATGTCGGCAAAGAAAATTTAGGTTTTCAATATAGGTATTCCAAATTAGGTTTCCATTATAAACCTAAGTATGAAAAACACCAAAGGAACAGGAGAGTATTGCTCCTAACATTTGGCACTCCAGGCACATGTATCCAACTCCCAGAAAATTATCTTGGAATTGTCCCAAGGTCCGGGTCTGGCCTCCTCCTCGTCCCCCAAGTGCTCCACTCCACCCTCGGCGGCCGTGCCTTCAACCACCATGCCCCGAGGCTCTGGAACTGCCTTCCTTCCTATTTTCAGGTCTCTGCTGAAGATCTTTCTTTTCGACTGCGCCTTTGGTCACCTTCCTCCCCATCCCCCTGGCTCGGTCCCGGGATCCATTGCTGTGAAGTCGGAGAGGCGGTGTATGAGGATGGCGTGGTCGACAGTGTCGAAGGCGGCAGAGAGGTCGAGGAGGACAAGGAGGCAGAGTCAGCCCTGATCACAGATGTTCAGAATGTCATTAGTGACTTTGACCAGGGCTGTTTCCGTGCTGTGGGCAACGCAGAAGCCGGATTGGAGGGGTAGCTCAGTGGTTAGAGCACTCGCTTTGCAAGCGAGAGACCCGAGTTCAATTCCAGACAGGGCGAAACCTTGGGTAAGTTTCCTTACTCCACACAGAGCCTAATAATAATCCCTCCAAAACCAAAAACAATAATAAATTGGTCATTTTCAATCTACGACTGTTTGTGGGACATTGCTGTGTGCAATTGGCTGCCGCGTTCGCCCACAAATATACAGTCAATTCACTTTACAGTGTGTTCTCTGAAGTGCTTTGGGACGTCCTCCCGACGTGAAAAGCGCTATATCAAAGGGAAGGATTATTATTATTATTATTATAAAGCAAGTTAAGTAAAGCTCTGGCAAAATGCAGCTATTCCACAATTATTATAATCTTTTGTATCGGCTTGGAATTTTACTAAATGTAAATTACATAGTTAGCTGCTACCTATGAAATAGAAATAAAAAGCTTCTACTCCTCAAATATGAAATAGTTTGGCTCAGCATTAGCACTCTTGCCGCCGAGTCAGAAGATTGTGGGTTCAATACCCACCCATTTTGGTAGTCAAACTCTTTTAGGCTGATCCAGGGTGGTCCAGTCCAACCTTTTTTGCTGCCAAGGGCCAGATCCTGGATTTGAGAAATGTCCACAGGCCACATAAGCAATATTTTTGTGTTTCACTTCCAGAAACCCAGAGGAATCATAAAAATCCTATGTTTTAAATTATGTAACTGTATTACTTCATTTCACTATATTTAAATAGGCAATGTAAAAATACAAATTTTAAAATACAGTCAGCGATGAGGTATCTGTCTGTACATCTCTTTCTGTATTTGTGTGAGTCTCTGTATCTCTTTCTGAGTCTTTGTATCTTTCCTGTTACTGGCTTGAAAGTGATTGAAGGTTCTGCTGCTAACCACCACCCCGCACTGGCTTTTTTTCTTCCAAGTCAGACAAAGCCTGGGCTGCGGACAAACGAGTTAACGGACTGTGTTAAACGATCAGATGAACTCATCCCCTGGGCCAATGCGCCTGTGGACCACCCTGGTAAGCTGACACTCCAATGTAGTCCTGAGGTCGTTTTTCACTGTTGGAGGCTCCATCCTGCGGATGAGATGTTAAACTGAGGTTCCATCTGCCTGTTTAAGTGGACCTTAAAGATTCCACTCACCATTCCCGACCCAACTGTCCAGTGCCTCGGGACGTCCTCCCGACGTGAAAGGCGCTCTATAAATGCAATCTTGTTGTTGTTATGTATTTGAAAAGAGACGGGAATTTCTCCCGGTGTCCTGGCCACCAATCTCTCAAATAAAATTAGTCATTTATCTCATGGCTGTTTGTGGGGCATTGCCGTGTACAATTGTGCTGTTGAATTTGCGTACAACTACACTGTCAGTCCATTTCACAGTAAATCCTGTGAAGTGCTTTGAAATATCCTTCCGGCATAATACGGTGCTCTACCAAATGCGACAATCATTATTTTTATCATTATTATTATTTATTTGTGCTTTATTTCTAGGTTTGGAAGTTTATTTTTATGTTTGGCTAAAAGAGAAAATCAGGGTCTTTTTGGTGGGGGGGTAGAGAAAGAAAAGCAAATACTATCTTCTTCCAGATATAGGAGCCTATTTACAGTGTTTTGGAATGTCCTCTTAATATGAAAGCTGCTATACCAAATCAAAGATTATTTATTATTAAGTTATTCAAACCACGTGACAATGCATTTACAGAGGGAATCACAGCTGTTCTTAATTTTGATTGTTGCATAATTATGGGCAGCTGTATATCACTCTAAACACATCTATTTATAAAGGGCCAAAAGGCAAAGTACTGCAGATGCTGGAAATCTGGTATAAACACAGAAGTCGCTGGGAACATGCAGCAGGTCAGGCAGCATCTGTGAAGAGAGGAAAATGAATTAACATTTCAGGCGAAGTCTGATGAAGTCATTGACCTGAAACGTTAACTCATTTTCCTCTCTCCATAGATGCTGCCTGATTTGCTGCAGGTTCCCAGCGACTTCTGTGTTTATACTTATTTATAAAGGCGTTTACCCAACTCACGTAATAGCCCCCAATGACAGGAAAGTAAAGATCTCAACAATATAATTTTATTCTTCATATCTTCCCGCTCCCTTTCTTGCTCATGAAAGCCATCATTTCAGATCCCACACCAAGAAGCCAACTCTTGATGATGATTGGTGCATCTCGGGCAGGATTCAGCTGCTACTAACTATCTGGCTGGGCTTTTCTGTCTTAGCATCCAGGAAAGTCTTCAGCACCCAGACAAGTCTTGAGAACTAATTTTCAAGTTCTTCTGCAGAGTACACATAAATTACACAATTAAAAGTAGCTTCTTGATATACCTGACCTATTACAGTAGAACTCTGACAAGAAAAAAAATGAATAAAAATGTTATTTCTATAGCTCTTTTCACATTTGTACAGCTTTCTATAGCTTAATGTCAACAAGACTCACGCTTTTCTGCTTAGTTCCAGTCAGTGCCTTTGCACCTCCGGCGCTGACTGCATCAATCTGCACTAGTTCCCACTCGAGCGGAATCTTAGTGCCTTGTTCAACCTCCAATTATCCTAGAAACATTACAACTGAGGTCCCACCAGCTCTGCTTTCATCGCGTCAGCAACATCGGCTACCTCCTCCACTCTTTCTCCCCGAAGGCTGCTGGGACTCTCATCCAGACCATCACCTCCAGGCTCGATTATTCAAATACCATCATCATACTCCCCAGCTCCTACCTATACAACCTCAGGCTATCTAGAACCCAGCAACCAATATTCTCTCCTGCACCAGACTCTACCCCCATCACACTCATCTCCACTGACTTCCTGTCCTCCGGCAGATCAATTTCAAGATTTTTGTCCTCATTCAAATGCCTTGACCCACCTTGCCTCTGCGACCCCTGCAACTGTACTGCCCTGGCTGCTACCTTCACTAACCAAACACTCATCTGCTTCATGTCCTCTGCCCTCCCACCCCACCAATGGTGGGCACGCCTTCAGCCATTCTGCTTCTGCTCTCTGGGACTCCATCCCAGAGTACCTCTGACTTCCCTCCTCGTTCTCTACCTTCATGCCCCATGTTAAGACCTTTCTCATCGTTTGTGCTTTTGGCCACCGTTCCCTTCCCTCCTCTGCTATCCCACCGCCATAGAACCCACACTCTACAATAAAGCCTGTGAAGCACTTTGAGTTATCCTTCTGATGTGAAAGGCATTATATCAAATACATCAAATATAAAGATTATTATTTTATAACCACTTTTGGACATTTTGTAGGATGTACCAAATTTAAAAAGTTTTTCCATCCACAGACCCACTATTGGAGCATTTTCCAATAAAGCAGAATAGATTGAGATATGATAAGAGATATGTTCAAGTGACTGAAGGGGTCATGGAAAGCTGGATTGGGAAAAACATTTCCTTCTGTAAGTGTATCTGTGTCAAATGGACAGTCTCAGGATTGTCTGCCCTCAAAGGTTAGAATTTGTAATTCATTTTCTCAAGTGACTTTTTAGATTGAATCAACAAAATCATTCAAAGCTGGATAAACACCTGGGTAGTAAACCATTAAAGGATATAGGGAGAGAGAGATTCGGAAAGTGAGATAGTAAAAAAGGGCGATTTAGGAAAAACAATTAGCAGGAGTACAGACATAATGGCTTCCTGTTGTGCAGAATATCTGTTTCTATCTTTAGTAATCCTTTATTTTGAGACTTGTTTATTTTAAATCCATGTTTACAAGTCTAATAACAGAATGAAAAGAATTAGGTACATTTCTTTCAAAGAAATAATTTGATTAATTACCTCTTCAAGAGACTCCTGTTCATTTTATTTCTCCATGATTTGGGCTGTACTCAGAATTAATAGTTTCATATTACTTTGTGATTTTCTGAAGGACTGCATTTAGATTGAGACGTTTTCAGATGAACAAATGAAGGGTTTATGAAACTGCATTCTTTTGTGTGCATTACTACATCCTACTATTCACAAAACAGTGTTATAAGCAACACTGTCTCATCCCCCAATAAAATTCAAAACATTCTGTTGCATAATAGATGATTAAATCTGAGCCCATTACTTACCAGTAAAGTAATACTTTTTTGGGCCAGCATGTCTGGTTACTTTTCCAAATGGTTTCTTTATGTCTTTCACAGCAGTGTCCCCATTAGCTGAAGATGTTTTGGAATGAGCTGGAGAATCTTTATTTTTGACCAAACGTAAAGATATATCTAAATTTTCTTCAGCACAATCTTCACTAGTTTGTACACGTATTCTGGGTGAAGGATTTTCAGTACAGCAAACAACAGGTTGCTCCTTTGGTTTTAGTTTTGTTTTTTTCTTCAACCTTAAAATAAATGTAATGAAAATTTATACAAAAGTTCAGTACAAAAAGTACCAGTTATGTTAGATTATATACCATAGACAAATGAATAAAGTTCAACCTTCACATTCAAGCAACAACAGCTTTTTTGAGTGGAAAGAAACTCACTCAATTTGTTAAGAACTCTGCACCAAGCTTAACAATCTTAATCAAACATGCCCATTCTCACATACAAGTAATAAAGGACTGATTCTGAACACAACTCTTTGCTCTTTTCTAATACAGTTATGTTTGGGGTCTAAATACAACCTTCTCATGTTAATGTAATACATAAAAAGTAGCCCAGATCAAAAGGAGAATCAAGAAGAAAAAGCTAGATGGGAATAAAAGAAAATGTTTTTAAAAATGAGCATGAGTGAAACAGTAAATAATCTAACATTTATCCTCAAACAGTCAACTGGCACTAACAAACATGTAGAGGCTTGGAGAAAAGCAAAAGCACTTAAAGGTTATTCTCCTCTAATGAAGACTGATGCACATTTACTAATGTAAGCCTTTCTGCCCTATTCAGTCAATTTACTGAATTCATTCCTGTGCACTTAGAACAAATACAATTTCAAAAATAAAACCTAAAATTAAATATGCACATAATCCTCACTTATAAGCAGAAAGGACCCAATTCACAAATTTACTAAATTAAGTACCCACCCCACATCAAAGCTACAGATTGTTAAAGCAGAATATCACTCTTATTGATACAACCCATCAGAAAAGGACAATAATGAAAGTGAAAGTATGGGAACTGTTTTAGGTAACTGTCTTGCACACAATCTCTGGAGAAACCCTTAATTGGCTCAAGAAATAGCAATTGAACAAGTGGAGAGCAAAAATCTTCCTAGGTAGGTCTTTCCCTACAAGAGAACTTAAGGAGTGCTAAATTATCCAATTTGTAAGCCTCTTTTCAGGAACGAGTTCACCTCATGTATATGAAATATTTGGTTCTACTGATGTAAATCTTTTGACTCCATCTGCAATACAATCGTGTATATTCACCCACACCAAACTCCACACATTCATCACTAAATGAGTGTGTCAGCCTGAGTCAGTTGTTAGTTTTCTTTCCTCCGAGTTAGAAAGTTATAGATTCAAGACTCACATCGGGACTTGGAACTCGTATAATCTAATCTACACCAACCTTTTTGGCTGTTGAAGGCCAGATTCCAGTTTTGAGAAATGTTCGCGGGCCGCATAAATATTATTTTATCCTGATTGGCCAGTACCATTCCTGGCAGAGCCTTAGCCCCTTGGCGGTAGTCTCCTGATTGGCTCAGGGCTTGCGCATCGCTTGTATTTTTGCTCGTTGGGCATGAATTTGGAAAAGTTTCAAGGGCCAGAAAAATCATACCCCGAGACAGATGCAACCCACGGCTACCAGTTGGACCACCCGGATCTACGCTGACATTCAATGCAGTGCTGGGAGTTTGCTGCATGATAGTATTGAGGTTAGGCTCACCCTCTACAGTCTAGCGGCCTGCACTCAACTGCCAAGGTGAGGCCATCCTTTAGATGAGACAATAAACCAAGGTCCTGTTGGTATCTACAGATGGACTTTAAAGATCCTATCACTCTATCAAAAAAAAGAAAGAAATTTCTCCTGGTGTCCTGGCTAACAATCCCTCAAATAAAATTGGTAATTTACTGGCTGTGTGTGGGACATTACTGCGAACAAATTGGTTGTTGCATTGCCCACAAAACACAGCCACTGCACTTTAGAGTGTATCCTGTGATAGGTGCAATAATAATAATCTTTGCATTTAATATTGCTCAACAGGTAGAATTTACGCCACCTTTTTTTGGTCAGTTGGATATCTGACGCAAGCAGAAATCCATCACCAAGCTGAAAAAGTCTCCAAACCACTGAGAATTCAACAAATTACAGTGCAGTGCCATTATAATGTGCCTTGGTACAGCATAAATTTGGTTAGTACGTAGTAGAAGTGTGGATCCTTTCCATTGCACACGTGAAACTGGCCCACTCGCTTATCATAAACTGACTTGCTTTCAGGCTAAAATGACAGATATCCAGGTCATGAATGCATAGAGACAAGAACCAGTCTCAATGGAGATCTACTGACCCGATCATCGTACATTTTAGCTTCCTGCAATTAAAAACAGGCCAACTTCCAGGTCATCAGTCACTACCAATGGCACATCCTGCTTTGTGCAAAGAGAAAGTCACATTGATGGCAGCCCGGTGGCCCAGAAATCGGCAATGTTTTTAGCCCGGGAACTAGTCCGTGTACACTGGTCACTTAAATGTTGTTGTGCTATGTTTCTATATTTCCTATGTTCTACCAGATTGAAGTAAATTTCTAATGTTACTGTGTAGTTAGTGTGAGAAATTTGTATAAACTATTCTAGCAAGATTTGCTCAACATTATTACAGAAGAATGTCTTAACTGGTAAGGTTTACAATACAAAACAGAAAAAGTTTTATTTACTAGTGAGAAAAGTACAAATAGTTGTTCCTTTATACCTGTCACAACTCCCTCTATACTTTGTTGCTACCAAGAAAATGAACTGCAACACCAGCAACTCCACAAGATGTTGAGCAAAAATATACAAGATACTGAGTCCAGTATCCGATCTCCAGGACTTTGAACTAAAGCGAGTCGGAGTAAGTTTCCGTGTTTTTCTAGCTCACTGTTTACATTGTTCTCAGTACATAATGCATTGGGACACTACCCTGCATGAGGGGCACTATATAAATGCAAGTAGTTATTGTTGTTGTACACAACCAACATTTAGCAAGATAACCTTCACGTCCGCTGACAGACTTGCAAATATATAAACATTTCTGGAGCAAAATAACGTATTTTAATTTGGCATTATGTAGCATTATTATGTTCATAAGTGCTACTTTTTAATGTTCTAATTTTAAAAAATGCCTACCATCTTATTAATGGAATTCCTAAAAATTATTTCTTAAAAGTATTTTCTGTATTTAAGATGTCTAAGAATGTCAAGTCAGGATATTTGTTCTATTACATTTCACGAATTATTTCAGTTATCATTGAGCCAGTTGACACAGTATTAAAAGTAAACTGAACAAATACAATAAGCTATTTTCAATAGTGCAATTCTGATCCTCAGGACTCAAGAAATAACCAGAAGTTAATAATCTAACATTGATTCAATTACTGTTGAACTGAAATCAAATCAAGAAAAAACACAGAGCAATTGCATGAGAAACTGAGCACTGTACAAATTTAAAACACACTTATGATAATACTGCTCTGCTACAGAATATTTACTTAGGATTTAAACAATAGAAAAGGATACAAAGAGTGGAAATTTACTGTTAAGTCATCTTTGCCAAAAAAAAAGCAGTAGCCAGAACTCTGCAAACAGCTCATTTAACTGCTAATAAAACCATTCTACATCAAATCAGGTGCTTGCAATTTAAAACCCCTCAAATTTCTATATGTGTATTGTATTAAAATGGTAGTACATTTGGCTTAATATTTCTGCTCACAAAAGCTAAAGATGTCGGCATCTGATAGCACTGAAACTGTTTGAGGAATATGTGGTGCAAGGGAAAGGAAGTGAATAAAATGAAGTGCCAGACAGCACATTAGCTGGATTTGTATGTGAATAATGTGCTGTGCTATTCAGTTTTCTGTTATCAAAATGTTCTCCCCAATTCAAGCCAAAATACAAACCTTTTAGAGTTATCTGTAAAATAATTTAACGTTGAAATGCTGACATTATAGATAATATGAAAGTTTTTTTTATTTCAATGTGTCTAATTCTTCTTCTATTTTTCTCCCAGTTTTCTCTCTATTTTTCTTTTATCACAGCTCCTGGTCCCCAGCCTCTTCATGCTGGGATGCAGTTCCACAGGCACTGGTTGTCCTCGATTCCCCACCTTGGCAGTTGAGCCACAAGACTGTAGAGAGTGAGCCTGACTTCAATGCTATCATTCACCTGGTTACCACAAATGCACATTAAACTACCAGTGGAGGGTTCTGCAAACGGACCAGGAGCAAGAACCCCAACGGTTTCTCCTCTCCCTAACCATGGGAAGGCCAGGGTCAATTTAGCCTCCCAATACAGCTCTAGCTGTGCCTAGCAAACATACTGACCCAGATTTGAACCATTTTGTAAACTGCAGCATTATCCATTAAAAATCCTTGCATTTGATATAGCGCTTTTCTCATCGGGAGGACGTCCCAAAGGGCTTCATAGAATACACTGTAAAGTGAATTGACTGTATATTTGTGGGCGAACGCAGCAGCCAATTGCACACAGCGATGTCCCACAAACAGTCGTAGATTGAAAATGACCAATTTACTATTGTTTTTGGTTTTGGAGGGATTAATATTAGCCGTGTGGAGTAAGGAAACTTGCCCAAGGTTTCGCCCTGCCGAGAATTGAACTTAGGTCTCTCGCTTGCAAAGCGAGTGCTCTAACCACTGAGCTACAGGACTCCACACTACACTACACTGTCTTCTTTTTCCCCATTCAAGCTTATGGAAAGTTTGAGTGATTTTACCATAACATCTTCAGGGCTTTTCTGGACTAGTTTTGACAGGAATGACTATTTCATTTTAAATTCTTTTTTTTACCAACTTCTGTATTTTATACACTGTTCANTTTTTTTCAGGAACACATAATAGCAAAGGATTTTTAAAAATTAGTAATATACTTTTATGTATTTTAGGTGCCATTGTTTGCGATGGGCCTGCTGAAAAGCGAGTTACCCTTGCAATAAAGAATCAAGTTAGTTCTACTTATTTGTGAGATTATTTTATGTTCTCTTTTTACTTATAATTTACCATATAACCAGGGTCATTGATTCCTGGTGATTCATAAGTTAAATGGGTGTAGATTACATTGAATTTTTACTGGTATATATTTTGGGGACTTTTATTGGTACTTTTGGTCTTGCTAGTTACTGTAAATTTTGCAAGACTTGCTTGCCATTGTATAACACTGTTAAACAAGCAGCAGAAGAATCATTAGACACGACATATATTTAATGAAAGTATGATTTTTGCCTCAATACAATAATGAGGCAGAGCAACCGAGACCATCAGAGGCCAGGGTGATTGATACTGGGCTAACTAAAGGACACGACTCGCTAAGTGGAGGACAAAACATGACCAAGATAGGCAGAGGGCAGAGTGGGTAAAGCAAAGGGTAGGATGAAATCAGTATAACCATTGACTATTACAGATAGATGTTCAACAAATGCTACTTTTTAAACAACTTTCAGGCCAGCCAGCAGCATGAAATATAAGGTTCTATGTAGACTGCATGCCATGCTTTTCCACCTTCATTTTAGGGTGTTGTCCATACGTAGAGTTCTAGAAATTGCTATGTTGCTTAGTCTGACTTTATCACTCAAGAGAATTATTCTCTTATCCATGAGATTAAGACTCACGTTCCAGTATGTACTTTATATCTTGGTGCAGAGAATATTAACATGCTTGTTCCTCTGTGTTCCATATTTTTAAAATAATCTGAATAGGAATAATATAAAATTATCATTGCACATCTCTTTTTATATCACTCATTCTGTTACCATCATAAAGAATTAAAAATAAATGTTTGGGAATGAGCAACATCAAAGTAAAGCACATTACAGTACACAATAAACCTCCAACTGTATCATAAGCAAATGCATGAAAAAGGTATATACTATACCTTGCTAAATAACCAGGACTTCTTTCTTTCTTTACGTCCTTAGTCTCCATGGTAAAATATTTTGATCCAGTTTTTTTTTAAAACTGTTCTATGAACGAAATTCGCTTTCAGATTTCTAGTGTGTAGAAATACCAGTGTCTGTAAACAGCAGAATTCTGTCACCCACAAGCCTGTTGCTCAACCAAAAATAAACGGTTATTTGTATACTTGAAACTCTGAAAATGAACCTTAGCCAAATGCAATAGGTACATCTTTTGCATTACATAAAATTTCTTACCAAATCCACTCTGATTTAATCATTTTAATGACATTTTAATGATGTTAATGTTATCCAATGTGTTTATACATAAAATATCACAGATATATTTACACAAGTCATGCAAAATGACAATATGTAGACCAGTAGAATTTAATGTTAAAATAAAAATACATTACAAAAGGTTCAATTTTTTTAAAAACTCCCTTTATCAAAATACATTATTACACAGAGTGATTTAAAAAATGTACTTTCTTCTATTTGGGCAGAAAGCTGCAGTATTGCAAGACAATAACTATTTTTGTATTATAAGATATATGTTTTTGAAAGGGAAGTATAACTTTTGTGCTCAACATGTAATTCAGACCATTTGTAATAAGTACACACCAAGCGATCCTAGGGTAAAGACATCATGAGTCAAATCTTATACAGATATAAAACCACGGCATCTCAAAGATGTGATAAGGCGCAATATCAAATGCAAGGATCGTTATTATTATTATCATCATCCATAGACATATGAAAATATCTAACAAATTTGCATCCTTTCCAAATGATGGCCAAGATCCCCCACTCTCCCAGAAGCAACTCAATCAACACAAGTCACACAAAGTGGCAAAGCTTCAAATCTCAATGGGAACTTGGCGGTTTTCCAAGAATCTAGCCACATAACTCGCCCTCCTGTTGTACAAAGCACCAAATATAAAATCAACACTGGTATAATTCGCAGGCATGTGAAGCTTGAAGCATCTCACTACTACAACAACAAATTATATTTATATCACACCTTTCACGTCGGGAGGACGTCCCATGACGCTGAACAATGAGGGGTTTGCACCCAAGCTGGTACCCACTGTTCACCTCGTGAGGGGCTCAAACCTGCGCTTGTCGGATGTCAAACGACAAACTGGTGACTATCCTCCTTGTGTTGAACTGGCTACAAGGTGACATGTTTGGAGGGCAGGGAGTGTGGGGTTGGGAGGGTGACCGAAGGCACGGTCATGAAGAGGAAGGTCATGAGACGGGTTCTGAAGGAGGCAAGGGAGGGGGTTAGGCGGAGGGCTCCGGGATGGAGTTCCAGAGGGTGGGGGCGGGGCTGAAGGCCTGACAATCCACAGTGGAGTAGGCAGGGCGGGGCTCATGGAGCAGGACAGGGCCTGTAGAGTGGAGGGAGCAGACAGGTTAGTGAAGTTTTAATAGGTCGCAGAGGTAGGGAGGAGCAAGACCATGGAGAGCTTTAAGTCAAGGACAAGGATCTTGAAGTCTACACGACTGGCACTTCCCAGGAATTAACAGAGCTGTTTGGAGGACATAACTCACTGGATATGCCCCCTTGATCTTTATTTTAAGAAGATTAATCTGCAAAATCCCACTATGATTCCGACATGTATTCCACTCTCAGTCAAGATTTCTCATGATGCCTTTACCGACCTTGACACACAGATTATCAAATTTCTCTGTAAAGGCAAGATGCCTAGAGTCAACAGAAAGCTGCAGCTGCCCAAATGCTGGTGCCAGGGAAAGTAGCCTCCCAAAGGTTACAATTGCTATTGGGTGGCACAAGTCCAAAGAACGGCATCCTCCCAGACCACCCTGGTTAGTAATGAAGCAAGAGTGCTGCCAAACTCTCACTACTGTCAAACAATGGAACTAACCCAACCTGAACCTCCCAAACACATCTTTCGAATCCAAATGCAAGCAAGCTTCTGGGATTCCTCCCAGCTGTAGCCACATTACATTTCAATAAGTACCCAACCACCCTGCCTTTAGTAAGCAATTATTACAATTAATTTTAGTAGAAAGACAAACCTACAACAACAACTTGCATTTATATAGCGCCCTTCATTTCTCAGAGCGCTTAACAGTGGTGGAGCCTTACGCCTAGCCGGGGGAGGTGACCGTAGGCACGGTCGATGAGCAAGATCTTAAGGCGTGATCTGAAAATGGGGAAGGAGGGGCAAGGCAGAGGGGTTGAGGAAGAGATAGTTCCAGAGTTTCAGGGCGTAGTATCTGAAAGCACAGACGCCGATAGTGCAATGGATGGACGAGGGGCGTGCAGTAGGCCGACTTCCATTGTGATTTCACATTGTGAAGAATTTCTACCATCACTGCACTCGCAACAGAACAGTTTAAAAATTTCTCCATTTCACCGAGTACAAGATTTGCTTCACTGAGTGAAAATACACTCCAAACTTTCCACTGCAAGATTATAGCAAAATGACAGAATGTTGCATTTGATTGGCTGATCTCTGACACCTGCGGCTGTTCATTAGAGCTTCTGCCGCAAGAACCGCAGCTTCTAAATTCTCAACGCACCAGAACAACCGCTACGCTGTTCACTATTCAATGAGTGGCTTTGTTATCGTCCGGCCAAGATAAGCTGCGGACCTGCCTTCACGATCGCCGGTTCTTATGAAGCGTCGAGAATTTAGATTTTGCGGTAGAAGCTCATGCACACGGTTAACAACAACCTGGATTTATATAGCGCCCTTCACGCGGGGTAGCGTCCCGGAGCGCTTGACAGTGGCGGAGTGTGACAACGAGCCAGAGGGAGATGACCATACGCACCATCCAAAAGGAAGGTCTTTAGGCGGGATTACCAGTAGAGCCTGGTAAGGACTGGTGTGATGGGGTACAGAGTTTTGCGCAGTTGAGTATCTAGGCAGCAAAGTTTTGGATTAATTGGATTTTGTGTGTGTTGGAGCTGAGGAGACCAGCGAGGAGGGCACTGGAATAGTCCAACTGGGAAATGACGAAGGTGTGGACGACAGCTTCGGCTGCGTTGATTGTGAGGTACCGACGGAGGCGGGCAATGTGACGGAGGTGAAAAAAAACGGTCCTGGTCAAGGAACAGATGTGGGGTAGAAAGGAAAGGTGGGGATCGGACCTGATGCCTAAGTTACGCACAGGTTTGGTGAGTCTGAGTGAGAGCCCGGGGAGGTTAAGGAGTTCAGACACAGAGGAGAGAAGACATTGACGGGAGCCAAAGAGTACAGCTCCGTTTTGCCAACATTCAGCTGCAGGAAATTTGTGCTCATCCAGGCCTTGATAGTCCGTCAAACAAGCTGACAGGACATCAGCAGCCTGGGAGTCAACATGCGGGTTTGATCCTTGGTTTGTGCTAACTTTATTGACATCAGTTGGTGTAGCAGACGATTGCCTTCGGGAGGGAATAGTCAGCTAGGCTTTCTACTCTCCAATGATCCCTGCTGGAAAATGCATGTGACTATCATGTGAAGACAGAATCATTGTGGCATTCATTTATTTAAAAATATGCAAATTGGATAAATTTTCAAAATTTGTTTGTGACCCTTTGACACATTCTGGTGACCCAATTTTGGGTTGCGACCCAAGCATTGAAACCCTGCTGAAGAATGTCCCACCTCATCACTCTAAAGCACTCCAAACGTTATTGTACACAAGGGCACTATATACTGTAAATGCACGTTGTTGTACATTTTTGGTCTTGAGAGAAGACATCTCAGAGGACCTTATAAAAGATCTATAACATTTTAAATAGGATTGAAAAACTTATCCCAGTAGAATACTTTCAGATACGCCAAGACAATAACAAGAGGATATAGCTTTAGAGTTTAAAGGACAATTTCAGGACAGATATCAGGAAATTTTTCTTTACGAATAGGGTAATCAACGACTGGAACAGATTGCCAGGAAAGATGGCAGAAGCCAGGCAACTTGACTCAATTAAAAAATAGCTTGATGCGCTTACGGGAGGACAATAGAGATCACAAGATAGGTTCAGATAAATAATACCCTTCACCTTATATAATCTCATCTTTTCAGAAAACTCACCCTACCATCCTCTGTACAACATCATCATTCCAGAATTTAACATACAGAGCTATGAGGAAAGGTAAACTACATAAGAACTGTTCTCTCAAAAAGGTTGAAGTATATATTTAAAATAATGAAAGGGTTGGAAACTTTGGACTCTGATTTTCTAATTATACAGAATGAAAGAAAGTTGTGTGTTTGGGGTAGAGTGGTTAATCGGAATCATTTCTTCACCATAAGAATAAAAGCGAACAGACGTTTTGTAGTAAAATGGTGATAGGCATGCTACAGACTACTGGGGTAAAAAGAAACTTGTAATTTCATAAAGGAAATACAGTACAGTACACAATTCATGTTAGCTGAAAAGATTCAGGGTGACATGTGGAGCTGATGGCCAGCACATATGGAGAAACAAGTAACTGGGGTTTCAAAAAGGAAATACATCTATAGTTTGTGAATCTTTTAATCTAACATACTTGTTTGGAGACTATCTTGTCTGCTTGATCCCATTTTTATAGTTGTGATACTAATTGTAACACTGAAAACATGTTTTTGAGCTGTTGTATTTAACAACAGATTTCAATACCACTGAAAAGGGTTTTCTTACAAATGTATAACTAAAGCTTTCAATATCTCTATAGTTTAATCCTTGATACAATGAAAGGAAAGAGCAAAAAAAAGAGACCCATCTTCTTCTGCCCCCCACCCCCAGAGTTCTAAAAGGTTAAAAGAAACTAGAAAGGATCATCCCAAAACCAATTTGGAGAGAAAGTCACTTTGAAAATCCTCCCCAACTATCAAAAACAGTTGAGCTAGCAAACGAGCGAGAGGAATGTATCTTGTTCATTTATCCTTTTGAAATATCTCCTCTATCTGGAAGTCACAGTTTACAGATGTGCATGCTCCAGGGAGATTAGCAGAACTTGTAGCATATACTAAATAAGGCAAATTTCCTTACTCCACGCGTCTAACAATAATCCCTCACGAAAAAAATAATAAATTGGTCACTTCAATCCACGACTGTTTGTGGGGCATTGCTGTGCACAATTGGCTGCCGCGTTTCGCCCACAAATATACAGTCAATTCACTTTACAGTGTGTTCTGTGAAGCGCTTTGGGA